ACAGAAGGAAGGATGGAAGGAAGGGAGAAATTGTCCTTGTATTTTTTCTATTATGACTTAAAACTTTTTTTTAAATGCAGCTGGTGCCAACATTTCCTCTAGAACTACTTATATTTTACAGTGTAATTTTGATGGAGGCATTTGCTTAGTTTTGCAGGGCAGAAATGGGAATAACAGTTACATTAAACCTGGCAATAATGTAGTAAAAAACAAAAAAAACCCAAAAATACTACTGCTTAGATCCAAACCCAGGTCAAGAAACTGCAGAGCTCAGACCAAGGAGGCAACAATTAGACTCTGACCTGGATCAGACCGCTTTGGGGGCAATAAAAAGACTGTAGGTCCCCAGCCTGAGGTGTTCCTGAAATTCTACAATAACAATACTTAATACCCCAAGAAAGCATCAATAAGACCGGCCTACACTCTCCCTCTAGAATTGCACAGAACATGCCTCTAACATCAAATCCAAATCAGGAAGAAATCTAGAAGAATGAACAACAACAACAAAAAGAATCCCACCATAAAACACTATTATGGTGACGGAGAACCCAGAAGAGAATGACTCTGAAATACCTACAAGCAAAGTCTCAAAGAAAAACACAGCCTGGGCAGAAATTCAACTAGAATTCCTGGAAAAGATGGAGAAAGATTTTTTAAAAGTTAGAACATGATTTTTAATCAACAAAAAAAAAAGTGCTGGGGGGAAAACTGGAAAGGAAATAAGAGCTATGGAAAAAAAGTGAAAAAGGAATAACTTGGAACAAGAAGTATGGAACCTTGTCCAAGCAACAAACTCTATGAAAGTTAGAATGATCCAAAAAGAAGCCAATGACTCCGTGGGACAATAAGAAATAATGAAACTAAGTCAAAAGACTGAAAGAAAAAAAATAGAAAAAAAAATTAAGGTATCTCATAGAAAAAACAGACTGAGGAAAAAAATTGAGAATCATTGGACTACCTGAATGCCATGAAAAACAACAACAAAAGAGCCTAGAGCCCCTAGATATCATATTTCAAGAAATCTTAAAAGAAAACTGTAATGTAGAAGAAGGCAGACAGAAACACAAGGAATCTACTGGTCGACTACTGAAATGAACCTCCAGGTTTCTTATTTTCAGGTCACAAAGACCTGAGTTCAAATCCTGCCTCAGTTACTTACTGGCTTTCAGTCCCACTGTGCCTCAGTTTCTTCAATGGGAATAACAACATCTATCTCTCAGAGTGGTTGTGAGGATAAAATGAGTTAATGAGTACTGCTAATCTTAAAGAACTATATAAATAGTAGTTTTTTATGTTATAACAATTTTCTAAAAACCTTGTATAGTTCTTTTGATACAATTAATTTCTTTTATAATCCTATGTACTTTATTTTATGAATATAACACCATTCAGAGAAAGGGTCCATAGATATTACCAGACTTCTAAAGGGATCTAACCATAATGGATGGCATAATCATACTCCAAATATCCCTAACTTCCCTTCAACATCCTCTACCATCCAGTTAGTCAGTTTTCTGAACTTTTTTTTCCTACAAATCACTATCAACCAATCCCAGGAGCTCAGGCAACAGATCCTAAAGTAATCCTACTTCTGCCTCTCAAGGTTCTCAAGGACTTCTTCATCGAAGAGCTAACAGATGATAATCCTAACTGCTGACAATTCCTAAACATTATATGCGTTACCTGATTTGATCATCAAAACAACCCAGCGAGGGTCATAGGCATGGGACACATAGGCCAGCTAGGTGGTGCAGTAGGTAAGAGCCCAGTGGGGAGTCCGGAAGACCTGAGTTCAAATATGAGCCCAGACACTGACTAGCTGTGTGACCCTAGACAAGTCCCTTACTTGTCTCCTCAGTTTCCTCATCTGCAAAATGGGCTGGAGAAGAAAACCACTCCACTATCTCTGCCCAAAAAACCCCAAATGGGGTCACGAAGAGTAAACACAGCTTAACAGTACAGTAGCCTCAGTTACTCCACTCCGAAAGTGGGGATAATAATAGCCCCTACTTCCCAAGATTACTGTGGGAACCAAATGAGATCATCGTGGCAAAGCGCTAGGTCACGGCGAACTCGGACCCTGGGGCGCAGAGAGGTTAGGGGACTTACCCGAGGTCACACTGCGGAGGAAGCCGCGCCTCCCTCTCCCCCTCCCCTCCCGCCCCCCGGGGGGCCGCTCACCTGCTGGATCTCCAGCTCCATGTCGGCCTGCTGGCGGCCCACCAGCTTCATGGGCATGCTGGTCTTCGGCAGCCGCACAGTGTCGCGGTAAGAGTTGGCCTTGGGAGGCGGCTGCTGGTTGCTGGCCCCACTGATGGTGTCGAAGCTCCGCAGGAAGCTCTTCGTCGTCGTCCCCCGCCATCCCGGGCCCCATAAAGGTAGGCGCAGCCCACCCTGGCCCCCGACTGCCGCTGCGGCCGCCACCCTGCCGTGCCTCATCCCCCAAAGCATAGCGAGGAGGCCCGCGCGCGAGATGACCCCTGCGCCGCTGAACCCAGGAGCTGCGCTGCCCCGCCCCTGGCTCGCCCAAGGAAGGCCGCCCCACGCCTGCGCCGCGCGCGCGTGTCCATCACCTCTGGGCGCATGCTCAGTCTGTTCGAGGGGCTGACCAAGAAGTCATTACGCTCCCAACTGTGTCCTAGTGGTAAGGGCTAACTAAGGGCGGGAAAAGTAAAGAGTACCGAAGTAGTTAATCAGTAAACATTTTATTAAGCACCTATCATGTGTCTGACGCTGCGCAAAGAGCTAAGGGGACAAAAAGGGAAAAAAGACAGCCCCCGCCCTCATTTAATACAGGCAACAACATATTAAATGGGCTATGGTCTTGATTGCACTTTAGATAGAAACCTGATGCAGCTCAATAAAGACCTACTTTGTGTGCATATATTACAGTATAGTCAATAAAGACCTAATATATGTGTGCGTGTGTGTGTAAGTCAAACCTACCATAGATATGTATGTATGTGCACGTGTATACGCACACATACACCCTGTGCTCTTGTTTGCACTTAAAAACCTAGTACCGGCCCTGGAATCGGAGGACCTGATTTCAAATCGTCTCAAACACTTGACAATTACCAGCTGCGTGACCCTGGCCAAGTCACTTTAACCCCATTGCCTAGCCAAAAAAACAAAAAGAAACCTAAGGGGCCTGAAGTTAGGAAGACGTGAGTTCAAATTCAGACTCAGACACTGACTACAAGTGGGACCCTGGACGAGTCACTTAACCGCCATCTGCCTTATTTTCCTCACTGTAAAATGGGTATGATAACAGCAGTTAACTCTGAAGATTGTTGTGAGGATCAAATGAGATGATTATCTGTTAAACCCTTACCACAATGCCCGACTCATAGTGCCAAGTAAATAAATGTTGGTTACCATTATTGTCAAGAGACTCCTAGGTGTGTATGAAAAAACTTTGCAAAACGTTAAAGGGCTATATAAATGCCAGCTATCAAGTCAATAAGCATTTATCAAGCACCTCTTGTGCCCTAGGCATGGTGATAAATCGATGAGACTACACAGAAAGGCCAAAAACCAAAAACAGTTCCTGCTCTCTAGGAATTCTCGGTCTCTCCCAGCCTAGTTTCTTCCCCACTCCAGTCCACTCAGGTTGGGTCTCACCATTTCACCCCTCCACCCACTCCATTTAAATAACAATTATCTCCCTCTTACCTCCTCGATCAAATACAAAAATCCTCTTTGGGGCTTTAATTTTTAGTTCATTTTTTTTCACTCCTGTCCTCTGACCCTTTGTGACCCCATTTGGGGTTTGCTTGCCAAAAGATACTGGAGTGGTTTGCCATTATTCCCTTCTCCAGCTCATTTTACAGATGAGGAACTGAGGCACGCAGGTTTGTGTCTTGTGCAGTGTCACACAGCTAGTAAGTGTCTGAGACCAGATTTAAAGTCAGGAAAACAAATCTTTCTGACTTGGCACAGTGCCTAACTTCATCCTGTCCTGTCCCCCCCCCCAGTATATATACTATTGTCGTAAGACTCCCACTAGATATGTATGAAAAACTCTTTGCATATATATGTATGTGTGTGTATGTATATATGTGCACATATATACATACATATATAGCGGGGAAATTAGATGGCTCAGTGGATAAAGCACTTGGCCTGGAGTCAGAAAGACCTGAGTTCAAATCAAACCTCAGAAGCTTACTTAGCCGTTCGACCTTGGGCAAGTCATTTAATCTCTATTTGCTTCAATTTCCTCCTCTATAAAATGATGATGATAATAATACCTACTTTCCAGAATTGTAGTAAGGGTCAAATGAGGTAATACTGTAAATACTGTATCTGCAAAATGCCTGGCACATGGTAAGCAGGTATACAAATGTCAACTATTACTATTTAAAGTATTATTAATATTAGAGATATTCTCTGGAGGAAAGTATTAACATTACATCCATGGACGGAAGAGTGAAAAGTTGTGGCCGACAAGGCTGTGATTCTTTTTACTAACTACCTTATCTTATGATCATTTAACCACCTCCTACTCCCCCACCCCAGAAGTACGTTTAGATAACTGACTGCTTCTGGCGGACTAGGGAGGGATTCGAGGCGGGGACTGCTGATTTTGCACATTCCTCCAGAATGCTGTTTGCTGCCCCAGACTGAGAATAGAATCATTGATACGGAAAATCGATTCTATTCTTGGCAAACCAAACCAGCGTGGATGGAGGATTGGGAGTTGGGGGTGTGACGACAGGTCAGTGATCCTTCAGGTGCTGCAGAAGGAAGCCGCTGCATTCAGGGAGGCACTCCCGCAGAGGGCACCTCAGCCTCTAAGCCGCGGGCATTGGAATGCCTCTTGGCACCACGGGGGGTAAGGCTCACTTCTGGCCTTCTGATAGCAGGAGGTGAAAAGGACCGAAAGGGTTCCTGTGACTTTAAGCCGAAGTAATACCACCACCCCTCCCCCTGAGGGCGGCACGTCTGTCTTAAATCCTGAAGGGAGTGAGTAACTCCGGTTGTTCAAGGAAGAAATCAAACGTTTTAAGTCCCTTGAAAAGCAGTAGAGGTATATTACTTTTTTAAAGGCCTTAAGGGAAGCTGAGTGAGAGGAGACGCTTTGGGCATGCGCCAGGCAGTCACGTACGGGCGCGCCTGCCCCATCCTCATGGCTGGAGTGGGTTTTACCTTACGTTAAGACGTCACTCTCCAGCGTAGAGAATGTCCTACGGGACGCAACGAAGGACCAGCCCCTGAAAGGCGTGTTTGCTTTTTTTTGTTTAATGTCTTTCCTCTTGGAGTGTTTCCGTGTTTATCACAAGTAAGTTCCTCATCGTCATCCCTTCCTGCCAAACAAGTTCTCATGTGTCGGGCAGAGGACTAGGAGCAAGTTTGACTAGTTTCACTACCTCACTAATCCTTTAAATAGGTGTCTGAGGGTATTCAGGTTAATGAATATAAATTAATTAATATTAATGTTTAATGAAATCAATTTCAAAACTTGATGTGCCCTGGATTGCCCCCCACACACACTCTAACTCCTGCTCCCAAGGCTTTTTAGTGCCACTCGTGGGGATTAGAAATAATGTTAACACTTAGTGATTTTGTTTTGATTTTATTGGTATGTTCTACCTAGAACATTTTGATAGTTGGTATAACAAATAACCAAGGCAGACCTGAGTGCTAGGCCGTAGTCTGGTTGTTAAAATAAAATCTAAATTACTTCTCAGAGACATCAAAGGATAAAGGAGTAAACTAAAATAATAGATCGTTTTTTACTGTCCTTGCAGGCATTATCTTATAAACTCAACTATGTCTTAAATGCATGGGTCCTGTATTGAATGTTGGGGTGGGGGTTTCGGGGTCCCCCCCCCAGGCAATGGGTTTAAAGTGACTTGCCCAGGCTCACATAGCTAAGTAAGTGTTACGTGTCTGAGGTCATATTTGAACTCATGTCCTCCTGAATCCAGGGCCGGTGCTCTATGCACTGCGCCATCTAGCTGCCCCTCCTATCTTGAATGTTAGTGGCATGACAGACTTTCATTTTTCTATTATTGGATCAAAGAGCAATTGCTGTCCTAGAAGTAATGGAAAGAAATTAACATGGTTTGTTTCAATGTTTAATTTATGCACTAAGTCAAAAGAAGGGGGAAGAAAATCACAAAATATTAGGCATATAGGGAACAGGGTCAATTATTCCTTTGTAAACAGACACAATGGAAAGTAATCTGAAGCAAGAATTTTCAACCATTTTGAATAAGTGGAACACTTACGCTAACTTTGAATCTTGACTGTTTAAAAGGTGTACCCCACCTCTGACAATTACTAACTTTGCTACCCTGAGCAAGTGATGACCTCTTTGTGTTTCAATTTTCTCATCTGTAAATGATGATAATAATATTTGATTGTTGTAAGACTCAAATGGGATGGTATAAGTAAAATGCTTTGCAAAAAAACACGAAATAAATATTATTATTCTATTATTATTAGGATGGGGCTAGAGGTGATGTAGGAAGCACAGTGTGTCCATTGTCTCTATGCTTTCAAGGAAAACCTTGGGATTCCTTGGAACATGATTTGACAAACTATGGCTAAAAGTTCAATTGTATCATATTTTGCCATTTTATTATATCTTGAAGCTATGATCCTGTACTTGTCATAGTTCCCTGGTATTTTACCTATCGAGCAATAAAGATTGGATCCTAATAGATTCTTTGATTCCAATATACAAAGCCAAATTGCACCCTGCTTTTCGGTCGTTTCCTCAGAACCTAAGTGAGAAGAAAGATACTGGGCTTTAAATTCCTCCTCTAGCTTGTCAATTAACCCTTTTGTACCATTTGAAAGGTGGGACATAATAGCTTTTTTGACATTACTCAGCATTTTCTTTCGTGTTAACATATCACATCAGTAACATCAACACACAATAGCAAGTAGTTACAATGATTTTTAGAGGGTGACTGCTATTTGATGATCAGGATATTCAGTGTCTAACAGGTGTATTTTTTATTCTTCAGGTTTTGACTCTCAGGCAAGAAAGAGTTAAAAAAAAAAAGGTAGGGTTCTAGGACCCAGAAGGTTTTGTAGCGATGGAGGGGAGGAAATTGTGATTGAATTGTAGCTTGGGCTGTTCATAAGGAAGTTGCCTGTTTCCCAGTACCTGGTTTTAAGCTTCACGTGCATCTGCTACAAAAAAAAAAAGGTATTTCTCATTGAGAGTTATAATCATTTATCTAGAATCTTTGCCAACTGTCAGCATTAGGGGAAGAATTAGGAGCCAAAAAGGAGCTTTCAGTTACAGACTGTGTTTTGTTATCAGATTAACCCCATTTTTTCTCATCAAATAAACCAAGATTTGTTTGTTTTGGAAAAAGGTGGGGAAAAAAGGGTCAAATTTTTCATGACATCCAAGTTACATATTTTATTTAGGACTAAAGAATGCACTAGAGGCCAAAGTGAAGATTGTTGATTATTTGCAGCCTAACAATGAATGCTTTAAGGCATCTATTCTTCAGAAGTAGTATTTGCCCCTCTCCTTGTTGTTTCTTCTGATTGTGTAAGTTGATATTATTTTGACAGATTGTTCAACTGTAAGGTGGTGGGAAAGGAAAGGAAAATCATTAACATATTTTCTTTGGAAGAAATAGACAATTTTATACACTTGTGGGAAGGTAGCTAAGTCTTAGGTGAGGACTGATTAGGCTTAAATGATTAATGAGTTCAAAGGTAATGGATACTTGTCAAAGTTAACCGGACTGTAAAGGAAACTGTTCCACCTTTAACAAATAGAAATGCTAAGTAAAATAAGGACAAAACAGCAGCACACATTTAAAAATTCTGAGTGTTGCAGACCAAAGTGTGTTGCAAATTAGAGATTGGAAGAATTCTTTTGTATTAAAAGGAGACTCTTAGGTTTGGGTGAACTGAACTGTGAAGGCAAGTCACATTCATGCACTTTTTCCTGTTTTCAGTTTTTAAATGGTTTCTAAATTAGTAATAGTTATAACATCTGTTCTAAGCATTGTCCCTTTTTGTTGTACATTGTAAAAGAGAAAGGAGAGGCTGTTGATTGTATTTGAAATTGAAATAAAGTGAACACAAACAGAGCTGTACATCTTTCCTATCTTGTTTGTCCTTAATAGGGCTTTATGTTTAACAGAAAATGCTTTGTAAATACGGTGAGGCGGAGTGTTAGGAAAATTTGATTTGGAATAAGGAATATTTCCGACATGTGGGCCACATTATCACTCTGGGTCTCATTCTTTTCATCTGTAGAACAAACTTGACTTTGAAGTTTCCTTCTAGCTCTAAATTGTATGATCCTGTGACTTTAAAGCACTATTTAAACATGAACTATCAAGAGCATTATTAATAACTCTCCTTATTTTATTGCTGAAAAAACTAAGTCACCAAGAAGTTAATTCTCTTGCCCAAGATCTCCCCCCTTGTGGAAGAACAAGAACTCCTTCCTGCAATCATTCTCAGTTCTGTTCTGTGTCTGCTTCATTGTAATGTTAGGATCAAGAGATGATGAAGAGAGAATAATGACACTTAAATTAGAGGATTTAATTCAGTAAATATATATTATTGAGTTACTGTGTGTGGGTGTGGGTGTAGGGGGTGGGGTGTGTGCAGGAATGATTTGTCCAAACTTTACCTTGGCTTTCTCCCTGCCTTGCAGCTAATCAAATTTCTTTTTGAAAGACATACATACTTACTGCTGGAAGCTGTTTATTTCTTTCTTCTGGGCTACCACCTAATTGTCCCTCCCCGTGACTCTCTAATGGGAAAAACCACATAATTTCCCCAAAGATTTTGGCTTCTCTTTAGTTTTCATATTGTTATTTTCCTTTACTTGGCTATATAAAAGGGGGAAGAAAAACAGCTTGGTGCTATGGAAGGAGTTCCGGAATTGGAGGCAAAAGACAGTCTTGAATCCTGTATCTGTGCACTTTCTGACTGTGTGATCTTGGACAAATCAATTAAGTTTTCTGAATTTCATTTTCCATATCCAAAATTATTAGGCTATATGACTTTTGAGGCTCCTCTTAGCTGTAGAGCTCTTTTCCTATCTATGATCTATACATCCCCTTAAAAGCAAATAGCTGTTAAATTCTGTGCCTCACCCTTAAATTCCCAGTATCTATTGTATGGTAGAGGCATAAAGTAGGATAGCTAAGTGGTGCAGTAGATAGAGTGCCAAGCGGGGATCCAGGAAGACTCATCTTCCTGAGCTCAAATCTAGCCTCAGATACTTATGTGATCCTGAGCAAGTCACTTAACTCTATTTGCCTCAGTTCTTCATCTGTATAATGAGATGGAGAAGGAAATGGCAAACCACTCCAACATCTTTGCTAAGAGAGTCATGAAGACTTAGTTACAGCTGGAATGACAAAATAGATTAATGAATACATTGCTGAATTCAGCATCAGAAAGACTGGTTCCAGTCCCTCCTCTACCACACTTATTAGCTGTGGGAGCCCACACAAGTCACTTAAACTCTTTGGGTCTTTGGTAACTTACTAGACTTCATCTATCTCATACAATTCCCTAGAACTTTTCTACTAAATCACACAGGAGGATATCTTTATTGGTAGGAGTTATAGTCTGGAAGTTTCTTGTGCTTAAGAAATTGCAGGTCATTTATATCTATTGTAGGTATTATCTCAGTTGAAAATCCATATTGAAATAAATGTTCTCATAAAATTATGATTTCTTTTTAAAACACAAACAGCAAGTAAGTAAACCTTGAAAGATGTATTAGATTGCAAAGCAGCAGTAACTTGACTTTGAGAAAAACTTTGTTAGTCAGCCTCCACTAAAGTCTCATTTGAGTGCCTCATCCTGGCATGAAGGTAGATCTGGATTTGGAAGCTAAGTCAACATTTCCTGGCACATTTCCTAAGTGGAAAATGCTTGAATTCCAGGCCCTGAAATGGATTGAGTGTCTGTCATCTAAAAACCAGTCTCCCTAAATTGGAAGTTCATCAAGGTCTATTACTTAATACAAGGGGAACCTTGGGCAAATACTCCTTTAACTTAACCTCCTTTAATGTTAGCTTCCTCATCTTTCAAAGAAGGAAACTGAATAGATGATCTCTAATATCCCCCCTACCTGTAAAATCTGATAATCCTATAATTACCAGAAGGTTGAAAACCAAGTAATAAACTTTTCTTTGGCCCAGGCTTCCTTGGAGGCTCAGGTAAAGTTTTGCTTTTCTGCAGGAAGCCTTTCTCAGTCCCCTTAATGCTAATCCCTTCCTTCTGAGAGCACCTTCAATTTATCCTGATTATATCTCATTGTAGACTTGGAGCTCCTTGAGAGCAGGGACCAAGAGTTGCTTTACTTTGAATCCTCCATCAATTAGTGCAGTGCCTGGCTTCTAGTAGGCACTTAATAAATACTTGTAGACTTGACTAGCAACTCAGGAGCACAATGAACTACTAAGGCACTGGAAGATTATCATCTGTACATGAAATCAGACTGATGAAAAAGTCTGAAAGAAAAAGGACAAGTGGGTTGAGTAAAAAACTAAATGGCTTGGATTCATTTGGGGACTATTAAAGTTATGTACATGTGCTAGTAGATAGATAGTCTTTGTTGTAAAACACTGGGGATAGTGGGTTACTGGCAGAACTTATACTATATGTAATTCAATTTGACACCTTCATGCAGATATAGAAATAAGTGAAATTGGTAGTTTATATTGCCTCTGTGTATTAACAGGGAGCTTTTCTTGACTTCTTTTCAGTGTTAATCATGGCTTCCAGTCCAGCTGTCTTGATTCGTTTGGTTGCTTCAGCATATTCTATTGCTCAGAAAGCTGGAATGATAGTCAGAAGTGTGATGGCTGGGGGTGATCTTGGAATCGTGGAGAAGGTACTAAGTTATATCTCATTTCTTCTTAATTTTGTGTTCACTAAGTTACATCTCATTTCTTCTTAATTTTGTGTTCACTTTGCTCCAGCTAAATAATCAATTCTGACAATTTAATGGTTAAAAATAACATGTTTTTTGTTAGGAATGTATAAGAGCTTTGTGCCATATTTATGAGGCAGTAATAATAGCTGGAGTGCGTTGTTTCCAAAGCACTTTACATATATTCTATCATTTGATCTTAATTGAAGGAACAGTTGGAAGTCTTACCCTTATATGTGGCTTGCTTAAGTTTTAGTTGTGAACAGTATTCAGAAGAACACCGTACCTTTATTCAAACCCTGCTTCTGACATTCACTACCTTTTCAGTCTTGAACACTTAACCTTCTTGGGTCTTAGTGTCCTTACCTATAAAATGAAGAGGCTAGACTAGTTGGCCTGTAAAATCCATTCCAGCTCTAGATATATGAGCCCATGATTCTGCTTAGACCACTTACCCTTGTGATTTTCACTAGCTCTCATTAATGTTTCAAAGCCTAGTTTGGAGCTAATATATTGTTATTTCTCATATAATCCTTGTTAAATATGGCAATTCTAATAAAATGTGACAGTTACCAAGTACTTGTTCATCTTTGAAACATTTAAGTTTCATTGGTCCTCAGAGTCCCTTGATGATACAGTAGAATCCACAGTCCCCACACAGTATTTTTCTTTCTAATACAATAGTTACAAATTGGGACAATAATTATAGTAGCAGTTAGTTACAAGAACTATCTCCATGCATATATTTCAACTTTTAAAATATTCTTATATTTCCTTCATCTATATTTAGTCTTACTAATATCATACTGTTGCGTTCTGAGAGGTTAAGACCGCTCAAAGACTGGAGTACAGGACGGGGTCATCTGGAATGAATTCACAGACTCAAGCATTCTTTAAGTCAAGTTGGCAAAAAGCTTATTGTTATGCTTTTCAGAGGGCAAGGATTCTTAAGGAACCTTCGAGAGATTGAGGATGGAGCTAGGGTTTATATGGAAAAGGGCATGGGAAAGGAATGCCAGTGATACTGATTAGGTAATCTAAAGGTACAGGTGTCTTTGGGAGCTACGGATGTGAAAGTGTAGGGAGTATACCGGACAGGGAGGGAGATGTCAGAGGCTTGGATCTTGGGAGTCTGGCAGGAGGAAGAGTCCTTGGGCTAGCCAAGATACTCCTCTCTCTCTCTCTCTCTCTGTCCTGATTAGAGAATGCTGTGCAGTAAGGAAAAGCTTTCTCACAAGACAGCTTACTAAGGAATTGGGAGGCTTCCAGAGACATGATCTGAGGGCTGAGGCCTGAGTAGCCCAGCACTCTCTCACCCAGCTTTGTGTAGCTGCACCAGGGAGAGGGATAAGGGTCGTGCTGGGGCCCACGCATGAATAACTGCTAGGCACAGTGTCCTTGGGTTGGGGAGTGATTATCAGAGATAGTGTTTCTGAGACTAGGGAGAAATTGGGGTCCAAGTACAAGCACAAGCACCCCATCAATACCACTAAGCACAAATGTATAGAAACTGTTTTATTGCCTTTATTTGTATCCCTGACTTAGCAAAGTGTCTGGCATGTAGTAAGCACTTAATGAATGTTAGCTGACTTACTGACCTAATAGAGGAAGGCACCACTAAAGCATTGCTGTGACTCTAATAAATATACCCTTTCCTTAAACGACAGTAAACTTTGTTGAGTACTGTATCATACCTTTGTTTGTGTAAGCAAATTACAGAATGTAGGTTAATAATTTACATTTTACTGATGTGGAAGAGAGACAACAAATGTATAAATTCATAGTTAGAGATTCTGCCAACAGCCAAACCACTCCTCTGTTGTAAGGTTGGACCGCAGTAACTCAGTTCAATTAGGTAATATTTTAAAAAGTAACTTACTTCTAACAAGGGCCACTGACTCAAAGGGAAAAATATCAACTGAGGGCAAGGCAGAAACAAAAAAAATATAAAAATACTTGTGTTATGTTCTGAAAAATGAATTGATATTTAAAATGTAAAACATTAACATACTTTTAAAATTAAAAATAGAAAGCCAGACTATTAAAAATGCATGAAAATAAGACTTAAATTGAATGGGAATAGAATTTCCAATGGCAATTTATGAGGAAAATAATCAAGAAATGTTATTCAACTTGGTACTTTTGAAGTTTGGACACAAAAGGCTTTATTCCAGTGATTTAAAGAGATGTACCGTCTGCTATGTGAGTCTTCCTGCTTATTGTAGTCACCAATTAATTTGCTGTGCTGCAAAAGTAAGGTGGTCTCCCTGCTAGAAAAGACCAAAAAAAGAAAAGACTTGAGAATCAGCCTTCAGTGGTCAAAGTTATTAGAGAGGAAATAAGAAATATTCTAAGAAGGAGGCAGAAAATAAAAGATTACACAAAGAGGGCAACTGATACTAGTATCCAGAGGCTGGTGAATAAGAAAACGTAACAGATAGATGAGAGGTAAGAAAAGAAGAGAAGAAAACAAAAGAGAGGAGAGAAGAAACTGAACTACTTGAAGTATGCTCTAGGTATAACATTCTGTTTGCAGAGGGTGATTTAGAACTTATTGAAGAAGGCAGTTAGGTAACAGATATTTATGAAGTACTTGTTATGTACTAGGCAGGCACTGTGCTGAGTGCTGGGGCTACAAAGAAAGGCAAAAACACTGTCCCTGATCTCAAGGAGCTCATGTGCTAGTGAGGGAGATAACATGCAAACAACTATGTACACATATGATATGTGTATGTAACACATATGATAAGTGTGTGTATTGATATATTTTCATTTTTCTCTTTATCATGTATTATATGTGTTTATGTGGGGAAATAGAGAAGAAAAGAGGGAGGGAGGGAGGGAGAATGAATTATAAAATGGAAGGAAGTCTCAGAGGTAAGGGGAGTCAGGGGAGGGGTTTTCTAGGAAAGGATCCTGTATAAAGTAGGATTTGTAGGATTCAAGCCCAGTCTTGAAGGAAGCTAGGGAGCCTAGGAGTCAGAGATGAGGAGAGAAGCATTCTAGTCATTGTGTCCAGTGAAAAGACATTTGGGAAATGTGTGTGTGTGTGTGTGTGTGTGTGTGTGTGTGTGTGTGTGTGCTCAGAACTGTACATAGTAGGATTGTAGAGAGCATAGGGGAAGAAAAGGGTAATAGGGGTAGGGAACTTGGGGCCTCAAGGCCTCTTGTGGCCCTCTAGGTCCTCATTTGCAGCCGGTTCAAAGGGCCAAAATTGAGGAGGAATGGGAAGGTTGGAAGGGGCCACGTCAAAAAGGGCTTCAAATGTCAAATAGAGGATTTTCTGTTTAATCCAGGAGGTAATAAGGAAACACTGGAATTTATTGACTAGAGGAGTGACATGGTGAGACCTGTGCTTGAAAAAAAATCACTGACAGTTGACTGGTGAGGGATAAGTGTGGGGAGAAACTTGAGGCAGGGAGACCAGTTAACAAGCTGTTGTAGGAGTCTGGGCATGAGGCTATGAGGCCTGTACAAGGGCAGTAGCTCTCTACTCCACAAGAGTGGAGAGAAGGCAACATATATGAGAGATGTTAAGGTAAAACAATAAGATTTGGCAACAGAATTATTGGATATGTGGGATGAGTGTGAAAACTACAATGGAAAATTATAAGAAGATCCAGGAGCTAGGGGGAGTAGAGGATGGCAGGGGACAGCACTCACTGTTAGAGGAGGAAGATCTGGCAAAGAAAAATCAAAAGAGTGGTCAAGCAGATAGGGGAGAACCAGCAGAAGTAGGTGTCATGAAAACCTAGAGAAGTGGAAGTATACAGGAGGAGAGGGAAGGAGGGTATCACTACTCCTTATCCAAGTTCTTAACTCCTCAATCTGAACTGCCCAAAGCTCTGAAAGGATTCCACTCTTGACTTTGAAAATCTCTTTAAAATTTTCACTTAATGATTAGCAAATGCCCGCCTGGTCATGCCCTCCACATCCTGGTGACTCTGAACTCCTGCAGATCATCATCCATATTCTCCTTCACATCCTGTGTTGCCTGATGCCCTATTCCTGGTTCCCATCCCTTGCAAGCTGGAGATACAGATAAGAAAAAGAAAAAACATTCTCTGTGCTCCAGGAGCTTACTATCTAAAGGGGAAAGTCAGCTACACAAAAGGAAGCTGAAAAAGGGAGGGGGGCACTAGAGAGTAGAATAGGCTTCTCTCTAGGTACTAAGTTTCCCATCACTAAAAAGTTCAAGGCAACATTGGTTGACACCAGGAATATTGTAGAAAGGATTTCAGTATTGGTAATAGATGCTTAGATGACATCTAAGTTCCTTTGAACTCCTAAGATGCTTTGAATCCTACTATGAAACAAAAGGGGATGGGGTGGGAAAATTGGGGATGGTCCAAGTAGAAATTATGGGAATTTGTAGGGTTGTTTCAAAGATAGACACAGTAGGCTACAGCAGGATGTAGACTAAAAACTGCTCACAGTGGAGATAACTTTTTCACAATAATTTTCACCTTTTTTTGTAGACATCCTCGGTAGATCTACAAACCAAAGCTGACCGACTGGTGCAGATGAGTATATGTTCATCACTGGCACAGAAATTCCCCAAACTAACAATAATAGGAGAAGAGGTAAAAGTTTTCTAGTGACAAAATTTGCCTTCTCTTTGTTGATTTTAAGTTCAATTACTGTCATTTGAAAATTTAACTAGTTATCCTACTTAATAAGAAGGTGCCTTGGATGCACATTGTTTTAAGGCAATGCTTTCCAAACTTTATATAGCAAATGCTTGCCTTTCTTACACAACCATTTCCAAAATAATCCACGCATACCTTTATCTCATATTTTATTCAAATAAAATTAAAATATATTACAATTTTATAGCAATGAACAAATCTCAAAAACCTAAAAATGGATATTTTATTTAAATAACCTAAAATGATTATATTAATAACTATAATATTATTATTGTGATGAGTGGACTTGTTTTTTGGTGCAATTTCTCAAAAATATAGTGTCATTGATATTGTTACTCATTCTTTTTGGGGGGCAGCTAGGTGGCCGTATGGGCTTGGAGTCAGGAAGACCTGAGTTCAAATGCAGCCTCATCCACTTACTAGCAGTGTGACCCTGAGCAAGTCACTTTACTTGTTTACCTCAGTTCCTTCATCCGTAAAATAAGAATAATAATAGTTCCTTCACCTCCCAGGGTTGGGAAGATCAAATGAGGTAATTGCAAAGCACAGTACTTGACACATAGTAAGCAGTATTGTAAATGTTGACTATTTTTATATTTCAAAGATTAACCAGGCCCAGTTTTACACAAATAAGACGTTATTAACGTCAGCAAAACTGGCACTATTTGATTTGATAAACCACAGAGCTCTTTATTTGCCTGGCGTCCAAACATAAGATTTTCAGGTGCGCTAGCGCATTTTAATGCATTACCCAGCAGGTTGGGGGCAAGCGCAGCCACGGAGTCAGAGAAGGACACGTGATCAGCGGACAGCTCCAGGCGGGACTTGCAGGCACTCTACCCTCCGCCCGCGAGGGGGCTGCAGACTGGGTGCTCCTCCCTCCCCGCCTCGGGAGAGCTGCATCCGGGGCTTCCGGAAGCTGCACGCGCCGTCCCTCTCTTCCCTCCCCGCCCCACTCGGGTCCGCCGCTTCCCCTGCTCTAGAGTTCTGCTCCTTCCACCGCAGGGGCCTGGGGCGGTAGCGGCCATGTCAGCGGCGGGGACAGTTGCGGGCCGCGGCCTGAAAGCGGCGGCTCCCTACCTGCCCCCAGCCGGGGACGGGCAGGGCAGCCGGGGGAGTTTCCTGGGCCCCCGTCCCCCGGCCGCGGTGGAGGCCATGGCCCGGCAGTTGCGGGGCCTGGACAGGGACTTGTTCCGGCAGCTGCTGAAGGTGGTGGTGAGCGCCTTGCAGGGCGAGGACTGCCGGGAGGCCACGCGGCGTCTCGTGAACTCGTCGCCGCTGTCGGAGGCGCAGCTCGGCGTCCTCGTCGCGGGCATGTACGCGCTGCTCCGGGAGGCCCTGCGGCTGCCGGCGTCCGCCCTCAAGCCCGACGTCTTCAGGGAAGACCTGCAGCAGCTCCAGGTGCCCGACGAGTTTGTGGCGGATTTTGCCAACGTGGTCTTCGGCAGCCGGCGCCCCGACCTGGACGGCGTGGCCCGCGAGCAGGGCGCCCGGCTGCCCACGGTGGAGGACTTCAGGTGGAGGGTGGACGTGGCCATCTCCACCAGCTCGCTGGCCCGCTCCCTGCAGCCGTCCATCCTGATGCAGCTGAAGCTCTCGGACGGGAAGGCGCATCGGTTTGAAGTGCCAGTAGCCAAGTTTCAAGAACTAAGGTACAACGTTGCCTTGATCCTGAAGGAAATGAATGACCTAGAAAAGAGGTGCATTCTTAAAATCCAGGACTGACGCCGCCTGCCTGTGATTAAGTTCGGCAACTCCCAAGAAGTTAATAAAATAAATAAAAAATAAAAACAACCCGGAATCATGAAGCGTAGACATGTCTTTCAACATTGTATCATTTCTCTTACTGTACTGTAAATATTTTTCAGTTAAGTATTGGTTGAGAAAAACAACGTTAAGTGAGGGGTTTTTCCTCAAAAAAAAAATCCTTAAGAAGATGACCGTTTATGTTTGAAATGTTTTGTATGATTTATAAGGAAACACTTTAAAATAACTAATAAAGACTGGAGATTTTCCAAGAAAAAAAGATGAGCCATCACAAGACAGGTGTATCAGCTATTCTTATTCCGATGAAGAGCTAGTGTGTCACAGTTGCCTTTTGTGAATGGGCTTTTGTAGACTAGCTAAGTGATTAATAAGTATGTCTATTTCTAGTTCATTTTCAGGGCAGTTATTTTAAGAATTGGAAAACATGAAAATATTTTGTAAATTTATAGTTCTAAATTTTTCAAAAGAGCAGGGACTTCATCTCTTGATCAGCACATTAACTTGATGTGGCATTAATTTATTTAGGGTTCTAAGTTTTTTATAGCATTCCACCAAATACAAAAGCTTCAGGAAAAAAAATCTACGAGATGAAATCTGCTTCATCTTTATTATTTTGATACACCCCGAAGGCCCCAAGAAAAGAAATTGCTTAAGCAACCTTAAGAATGTTTTGTCATTACAAAGTCGGAGAGTTTTACAGTACTTTAGAATGGAGGTCTTTAAACGTTTTTGGTTCCAGGACTCCTTTACACTCTTAAGATTATTAAAGACTTCCATAGAGATTTTGTTAAAATAGATCATATCTATCAATATTTATGGGATTAGAAATTAAAACTAAAAAATTTGAAATATTAACAAAATCAAACATTAACGTTTTCATGAAAAATAACTTCTAAAAAAAATTAAGTGAAGAGGTATTGTTTTACATATTTTTTCAAAGCTCTTTAGTGTGTGGTTTACTGCAAGACAACTGGAGTCTCATCTGCTTCTGCATTCAACCTATTGGTTATATTGTTTTAGTTGAAAGTTTATGAAGAAAATCACACAGGTGTGTAGTTGGAGAAGAGGAGTGTTTTAAAAGGTAAAAATGTCTTAGTATTAATGTGAAAAGTTTTAACCAAGTGGACTCCCTGAAAGGGTTTCAGTGACTCCCAGAGATCATTATCAGGACTAAGAACCACTGCTATACAAAAACTTTGTTCTTCCAAATTTTCTCTTAATTTTGTAAAAAACCTTTTTTTTAAACAGACTTATAGTCTTTTATTCTCATGACTTGAAAAGGGAGCTACATCCTCATTTCTCAATACAGGTGATTATGAAACATGCAGTATGTTCTGACTACATGCATGAGAACATCTTTCAACTTTTATTTTTAGACTCTGGGAAGAGCCCATAATTTTCAGTGATAGGAAATGAATTTGATTCTTGGCCCTTCCACTTAATACTTGGCAGGAGAGATGGATTAGATCACCTCTCAAGACCCTTTTTGCTAGACCATTGTTATATCCAACCTCAGTAGAGCTCCATTGGCATAGAGTGCAGTACATTATTCCACACTATATCATTTTTTTTTAAAATCCATCAGTTGGAAATTTTTTTCTGTATGTGGCACTGTTATTATAGGGTTTTCAGAATTATGAAATTTTCCCTAGCGTTGGCTTCACCAATATGTTGAACAGATAATCCATCTTTAATTATGCATATTGTTTTATCTACTTAAAATACAAAATTAAAAGATTTATGTTTCTCATTTGATTACTGAGGTGTTTAGAAATGAGAAATTTCCTACTGTATCATGTGCAATCAGTGATCAAAAGATGAAATAATGCCTTTTGAAGGAGCATATAGGGAGACAAGTACATATGCAAGTATATATGTAATATAAAGAAACCAAGTACTTAACATGTAGAATAGTTTGGGATTGAAGGAACTAGCATTTGTGAAAATCTGGAAGGGTGTCAGTAGGTGGCACAATAGTGCCCTGGACATGTAGTCAGGAAAACCTGAGTTTAAATCCTACCTCTGATACTGAAGGCCCTGGGGCAAGTCACATAACCATCTGTAAAATAAATAATAGCATCTGTTTCAGAGTTCTGAATCTACATGAGATAATATTTGTAAAGCACTTAAGTATGGTGTGTATTATGGCATATAGTAGGTGCTTCATCTTTTTTTGGTATGTATATACATGTATTTACATATATACATATATAAACATAAAGAAATCCCACAGATTTCTTTAAAAATAACATTTTGTTATGACATTAAATGAAAATTTTAATTTAACTTACACATTTCCAATAAAATGAGACAGTGAATATTATAAATTCTTTATAATTAGAAGTTGCTAAAAGATTCTGCACATATTTTACACATTGCATTTCATTTAGGTATTATGACTGACCATATCCGAGATAATTCTGGTAGCAGTGGTAGTCACCACTGCAATTTTGTGCTTATCTTTATCAACCCTAACTTAGCTCAGGATTTCCCCAGTCTTGTGTGACACTGACCTTTTTTTAAAAAATTATTATTATTAATTTGTTTTGATTGATCAACAATCACTTCCATGTGCTTTTGAGTTTAAAATTTTTCTCCCCCTTCCTCCACACCACCCTCCCCAAGATAGTGCACAATCTGATGTAGGCTGTGTGTATACGTTCTTATTAAACATATTTTCAAATTAGGGATGTTATAAGTAAAAATTAGAACCAATAGGAGGAACCACCAGAAAGAGGAAACAAAACTCAACAGAAGAGAAAAAAAAATAGCAAATAATACACTTCTATCTTCATTCAAATTCCATAGTTCTTTCTTTGGATGTGGATAGCATTTTCCATCACAAGGCCTTTGGAGATTGTCTTAGATCCTTGTATTGCTGGGAAGAGTTAAGTTTATCAATATTAGTCATACAATGTGGCTGTTACTGTGTGCAACATTCTCTTGGTTCTGCTCGCTTCACTCAGCATCAGACCATACAAGTCTTTCCAAGTTTTTCTGAAGTCAGCCTGTTCATCATTTCTTATAGCACAATAGTATTCCATTACATTCATATACCACAACTTGTTTAGCCATTCCCCAAGTGATGGGCATCCTCTCAATTTCCAATTCTTTGCCACCACAAAAACAGCTGCTGTGAATATTTTTGTACATGTGGGTCCTTTTCCCATTTGTATGATCTCTTTGGGATATAGCCCTAAAAGAGCTATTGCTGGGTCAAAGGGTATGCACATTTTTATAGCCCTTTGGGCATAGTTCCAAATTGTTCTACAAAATGGTTGGATCATTTCACAACTCCACCAACAATGCGTTAGTGTTACAATTTCCCCACATCTCCAACATTTATCATTTTCTTGTTTTGTCATCTTGGCCAATCTGATAGGTGTGATGTGGTACCTCTGAGTTGTTTTGATTTGCATTTCTCTAATCAATATGATTTAGAGCATTTTTTCATATGACTATAGATGGCTTTAATTTCTTCATCTGAGAACTCTGTTCATATCCTTTGACCATTTATCAATTGGGGAATGGCTTGTATTCTTATAAATTTGACTTAATTCTCTATATATTTTAGAAATGAGGCCTTTATCAGAGAGACTGGTTGTAAAAATTCTTTCCCAATTTTCTACCTTCCTTCTAATCTTAGTTGCATTGGCTTTGTTTGTATAAAAACTTTTCAATTTAATGTAATCAAAATTATCCATTTTGCTTTTAATGTTCTATCTCCTGTTTGGTCATGAATTCTTCTGTTCTCCATAGATCTGATAGGTAAACTATTCCTTGTTCTCCCAGTTTGCTTATAGTATCAGCCTTTATATCTAAATCATGAACCCATTTTGACTTTATTTTGGTATATGGTGTGAGATTTGGTCTATGCCTAGTTTCTGCCATACTCTTTTCCAGTTTTCCCAGCAGTTTTTTTCAAAGAGTGGGTTCTTATCCCAGAAGCTGGGGTCTTTGGGTTTATCAAATAATAGATTACTATAGTCATTGACTACTGTGTCTTGCATATTTAACCTATTCCACTGATCCACCACTCTATTTCTTAGCCAGTACCAAGCAGTTTTGATGATTGCTGCTTTATAATACAATTTAAGATCTGGAATGCTAGGCCACCTTCCCCTGCATTTCTTTTCATTAGTTCCTTTGATATTCTGGACCTTTTTTTTCCAAATGAATCTTGTATTATTTTTTCTAACTCTATAAAATAATTTTTGGTAGTTTGATTGGTATGGCACTGAATAAGTAAATTAGCTTAGGTAGATTGTCATTTTTATTATATTAGCTGGCCTACCCATGAGCAACTGATGTTTTTCCATTATTTAGATCTGATTTTATTTGTGTGAAAAGTGTTTTGTAATTGTGTTCATATAGTTCCTGGGTTTGTTTTGGGAGGTAGACTCCTAAATATTTTATAATGTCTACAGTAAGTTTAAATGGAATTTCTCTTTCTATCTCTTGCTGTTGGGCTTTGTTGGTAATATATAGAAATGCTGATGATTTATGTGGGTTTATTTTATAGCCTGCAACTTTGCTAAAGTTGTTTATTATTTCAAGTAGTTTTTTACTTGATTCTCTAGGATTCTCTAAGTATATCATCATGTCATCTGCAAAGAGTGATAGCTTTGTTTCTTCTTTGCCTATTCTAATACCTTCAATTTCTTTTTCTTCTCTTATTGCTAAAGCTAACATTTCCAGTATATTGAATAACAGTGGTGATAATGGACATCCTTGTTTCACCCCTGATCTTATTGGAAATGCTTCTAGCTTGTCCCCATTACATATAATGCTTGCTGAAGGTTTTAGGTAGATGCTTTTTATTATTTTAAGGAAGACTCCATTTATACCTATGCTTTCTAGTGTTTTTAATAGGAATGGGTGTTATATTTTGTCAAAAGCTTTTTCTGCATCTATTGAGATGATCATGTGGTTTCTGTTTTGGTGTTGATATGCTCAATTATGCTGATAGTTTTCCTAATATTGAACCAACCCTGCATTCCTGGTATAAATCCTACCTGGTCATAGTGTATTATTCTTGTGATAAGTTGCTGTAATCTATTTGCAATATTTTGTTTAAAATTTTTGCATCTATATTCATTAGAGAAATTGGTCTATAATTTTCTTTCTCTTTTGACTCTTCCTGGTTTAGGTATCACACCATATTTGTATCATAAAAAGAATTTGGTAAGACTCCTTCTTCACCTGTTTTCCCAAATAGTCTATATAGTATTGGAATTAATTGTTCTTTAAATGTTTGATAGAATTTGCATGTAAATCCATCTGACTCTGGAGATTTTTTCCTAGGGAGTTTGTCAATGGCTTGTTCAATTTCTTTTTCTGAGATGGGGTTATTTAAGTATTTTACTTTCTCTTCTGTTAATCTGGGCAATTTGTATTTTTGTAAATATGTATCCATTTCACTAAGATTGTCAAATTTGTTGGGCAAAATAGTTCCTAATTATTGTTTTAATTTCTTCTTCCTTGGTGGTAGCTTCACCCTTTTCATTCTTGATACTAGTAATTTGGTTTTCTTTTTTTAATTAAAGTAACCAAAGGTTTATCTATTTTATTGGTTTTTTCATAAAACTAGCTCTTAGCTTTATTTATTAGTTTAATAGTTTTCTTAATTTCAATTTTATTAATTTTTCCTTTGGTTTTCAATATTTCTAATTTGGTGTTTGAGGGTTTTTAATTTGTTCTTTTTCTAGTTTTTTTAGTTGTATGCCCAATTCATTGATCTCTTTTTCTATTTTATTTATGTAAGCATTTAGAGATATAAAACTTCCCCTAAGAACTGCTTTTGCTGCATCCCATAAGTTTTGGTATGTTGTCTCATTATTGTCATTCTCTTGAATGAAATTATTGATTGTTTCTATGATTTGTTGTTTGACTCAATCATTTTTTAGGATTAGATTATTTAGTTTCCAATTAATTTTTAGTCTATCTTTCCATAGTCCTTTATTATATAAAATGAGACAGTGGATATTATAAATTCTTTATAATTAGAAGTTGCCAAAAGACAGATTCTGCACATATTTACACATTGCATTTCATTTAGTTATTATGACTGACCATATCCGAGATTATTCTGGTAGCAGTGGTAGTTACCACTGCAATTTTGTGCTTATCTTTATCAACCCTAACTTAGCTCAGGGCTTCCCCAGTCTTGGGTGACATTGACCTTTAAAAGCATCACAAAGCAGCATTCTACCAGCTATCTTTCAGAAAGGCCCTTATGAGAGCAACTATAAAAATGATTCTGGGAAAAGGAAATTTTCCTTGAAAGAAGTCACACAGCAAGGTAGACATATCTGGTCTCATTAATAACTTGCTAATGTTATTCTGTTTTTTTTTTAATTTGAATTTTTTATTTTTATCATTCTGTTTTAAAAATTTTGAGTTCTAAATTCTTTCCCTCCCTGCTACACATCCCTCACCCACTGAGAAGGCGAACAGTATATCAATTATACATGTGGAATGAATTGTGCAATATATATTTCCATATCAGCCGTATCACCAAAAAAAAAAAAGAGAAAACTATACTTCAGCTTGTGCTCAGAGTTCATTTGTTCTTTCTCTAGGGGTGGATAGCATTTCTCATGAGTTCTTTGGAATAGTCTTAGATGACTGTATGGATCAGAGTAACTAAGTCTTTCACAGTTGATCATCATTACAATAGTGCTGTTACTGTGTACAATGATAGAATTCTGCTCACTTCACTTTGCATCAGTTCATATAAGTCTTGCCATGTTTCTTCCGAAACCAAACCCCTTGTCATTTTTTTTTACTTAATAGTATTTTATTTTTTCCAATTACATGTAAAAATAGTTTTCAACATTCAATTTTGTAAGATTTTGAGTTCCAAATTTTTCTCCCTTCCCTCCTACCTCTCCCAGACAGCAAGAATCTGATATAGGTTATTCATGTACAATCATGTTAAACATTTCCACATTAGTCATATCGTAAAAGAAGAATCAAAATAAAAGGGAAAAACCAGGAGATAGGTGTTGCATCTTGAAGGAAGGAAGGGATTTTATGGACACAGAATTTATGGATTGCAAATGAAGTCAAATTTGTTTTGTGTATAATTTGTCCATTTCATTCATATCAGTAGCATCAAATGATACCAAATTTCTCCTATTTTTTTACACTTAGCAATTTTATTATCACTGACATACTGTGTAAGCAATTCTTTTGCTATCACAGACATAGTTTTTTGAAATATTTTTCTGTACTAAGAATATGATTTTCTCTAGAAAAATTTTCTTGTCTTGCCAAAATGTTGCGCACCTATACTTTCAAGCTATTTTAACAGTTAGATTTCATATTATTTGAAGCTAAAGTATTAATCATTCAAACCCAGTGCTCTTTCCATCAGTAAAAGTTCTTGTGAATCTTTATGATATATACAGTAAATCATGTATTCTGGATTTGGGCTTGTTGCTTTTTTCCCCTTCATTTCTTTACTTAATTTAAATTTACTTATCACTATTATTAAATTTTTTGCTATTTTCATGGGGTTTTGTTTTAAAACAGTTGCTTTCCATCATGAAGGGATATTGTTTTATTTGTACAAAAATTAAAGACAGCAAAATATGTAAGACATTTAAATTTGTTGCAAATTTCAAACCAACCGTAACCATTCTTAGGGTTTTTTTTTCACTTTTAATTGCAGAATTATTTGGAAACCAACTTATATCATAGTTAAAATGAAGTGAAAATATAATTGATATTATAGTACTTTTAACTTGCACAAAAGATGGTTTAATTTCAAATTTAAACAGGTATTCAAATACCACTAGCAGCTTACAATGGTGACAGATTATATTGAGGTCAGTTTCCAACACCAACTCAAATTTGACTTTGTGCATGGTATATTAAATAATTGCCACTTTTCATTTATTACCAATTAGAGAATATTTTCTATAATATTCTTTCTTTTCTTTGATATGAACTTTTTCAGTTTTTAAAACTGGATTACTTGTGTGGTAATTATACAAAAAAATTAAATAACTTTGGTCAATGCTTCACGCCCACACCCAGGTTTTGCATCACCACAGAGGGGCATACCTCCACAGTTTGAAAAACTTTACAGTTAGGCATAGTGTATTAAAGTATCATATATCAATCCAACCTCCTTATTTTACAGATGAGGAAACTGAGACCCAGAGACATTTAGTGACCTACCTAAGGTCATATAGGCAGTAAGTAACAAGAAATGGGACTTGAACTCAGGCCCTCTGGCTCCAAATCTAGCACTCTTTATACTCACTATACTTGCTTCTAACTTATTATAGGGAAAATGTGGCATTATAAAATACTACATTTATTTAAATTCTGTCACAGAAGTATCCCTTGGCTGAGGCCGCAGAAACTGGCAACCTGTACCACTCCCTGTCCTTTACCCTGCTACATGGTCTTATACAGGGTTCAATGATAGAAGTGCCTGCCACTAAAGGGAGTTGCACTCTAATATTCCTTGATTTGATAATAACCCCCCACCATTGCCATTCCTGTAACAAATTTACTTTTAGATCTAAGGCTTCAGAAAGTAGGGAATGAAAGAAAAAGGGAAGAGTTCTGTCAAAGAAGAAAATATTGTACTCTCTGTTATAGGCACAAGCTTTTCAGAAATAATTTTCATTAATTTGACTATTTTAAATTCAAACCATATTATTGAGGGAGAAATGTCCAAACTGCCAGAGTCCCTTATGCTCTCAAATATCTTTCAGTACATTTGGAAGTAACATAGGATTCTTGAGCAGGGACATTTCATAATATGATAAAACAGTCACACAGTTCCGGGTTGACATTTTGTTTCATCAGATAGAACAATAATTACTTTTGATCCTTGTCCTTGAAGAAACAGTTTCTTAATTCTTCCATGACTATTCCCTCCAAGGGTTCTTCTTTTCAGCTTGTTAGAAATGAACTGAAGGTCTTTTAGTCTGATGATTACCCTATTTTGATCAAATTGAATCACTTAAGGGCTTTTGCCCTGTCTGTAGCCTTATCAACTGCTTTATCTTAAGAAGTCATGTTGTAATTACCTATTTATGTAGTATGTTTTATTGTTCAGTCTTTTTCAGTCTTGTCTGACTCTTTGTGACCCCATTTGAGGTTTTCTTGACACATACTGGAGTAGTTTGTCATTGTCTTCTCCAGTTCTTTTTACAGATGAAGAACTGAGGCAAACAGGGTTAAGTGACTTGCCCAGGGTCACATAGTGTCTGAGGCCAGATTTTAACTCAGGAAGATGAGTCTTCCTGATTCTAGGATTAGTACTCTATCCAGTGTGCTACCTAGCTGTCCTGTGTATCGTGTTATCTACTCCCAATTAAACATAATCTTCTAAAGAGTAGGAACTCTTTAACTTTTGTTTTTGTAATCCCATAACCTGGCACTGTGCTTTTCATATAGTAGGTGTTTAATATTTGTTGGATTGGATTGGACAGTAGAAAGGATAGAATATCCAGTCATAGATTTATTTATGTTGGTTTTGGGATATTACATCTTTTTTTTTCTTAATTTCTTTTTCTAAAGGTTTTACTTAAACAACTAGAGATAGCTGGTGAAAGATTAGAACACTGGACTTGGAGTCAGGAAGACCTGAATTCAGATATGACCTCAGACGTGGGCTGTGTGAGCCTTGTCTGCCTCGGTTTCCTGGATTGTAAAATAGGAATAATATTTCACAAGATTGTTGTGAGGTTAAGCACCTAACATGGTGCCTAGTATATAGTGGGCACTTAATGCTTGTTTCCTCGTTTCTTTCTTCTCTCCCTCCTTCCTTCTCTTCCTTCCCTCCTTTTTCCTTCCTTCCTTGCTTCCTTACTTCTTTCCTGTATTTGAGAGAATGAAATTGACACATTTTAAACTGCTGTAATGAACCACTTGTTACAATACCAGATTTATTTGGGGCTTTTTGGGGGGAAGGAATAATCTATGCCCCAAATGGTCGGCTGAGTAGAAGTATTAAAACCTATGAAACTGTATTCCCAGTGCTGTTGATGCATGGTACAATTTCTATATAGTGATATTTTCTTTCACCATCCTTTGTTTTGATTTAGGATCTGCCTGTTCAAGAGGTAGACCAAGAGCTGATTGAAGATGGTCAATGGGAGGAAATTCTGAAGAAACCATGTCCCATACAATACAGTGCTATCAAAGAGGAAGATGTAAGATTAATATTTATGATTAAATCAGTTTTAGATCAGAGTTCGCCTTCTAAGAAAAACATTAAAATAGGGTAACATTGTAGGTTTTAATAATATGTAACCATGTTTACATGTGTGGTGCTATTTTAAAAAAATTTGTTTATTCAACATTTGTGAAAGATGATAGCAATGAAAATTAAGTTCCTTAAGAGCTGAGAAAGTATAATCAAAAGTCTTTAGGGATGGGGGGGAGTTATTTTTCTTTTTTACTCAGGACTGGGAACTTCATCATTGTTGGGGGAATGCCTTTTACTGATACAGATCTATGCAGACTGCCTAACTTAACAGTCTCAGATAATTGCTTGGCAGTAAGTTGAAGTGACTGGTTTATGGTCACACAGCCAGCATATGTCAGAGGCAGGATGTTAATTTGAGTCTTTCTGACTCCCTGTCTGTCCCTCTCTCCAAATAACATAACAATATGTCAAGTCCCTGAACCAGGAATATTTTTGCAGGCAGATACAGTGCCATTACTTTCCTTTCTGTTTTTGATCCCTCTGAAAATGCCTGAAGCCATTTCTTCATTTAGAGAATTAAGATCACCAAAACAATTTTAACTAACATTGTCCAAACAGAGGATGAAGCTTAATGCCCTTTCATACTTATCCTCCTGGGAGAAATCAAAAGCTATTCTGATGCATCTGTGTATTCACTCATGTTAAACCTGTGACCAAAGATAAACACTGCACTTCTTTCTTTCTTCAAATTAAATCTGTTTATTCATTTATTAAACACATTTTCAGTACTCACTATCCAGATAGTTTAGCTGAATGATATCAAACTCAAATAGAAATGGATCCCTGCTGGCCACATATTCACTCAGAAAACCACAAATTAACATTATTTATTATGTAACATTAGTATGTATTTCTATTTATTTTGTTAAACAATTCCCAATTACATTTAGTCCATTTGCATTGTGGTCTGGCCACACTGGGGAATTTCGTGAGTTACAAAGGGCTCTAAATTTGACATTTTTGTTGTTGGATATACAGTGGTAAATATGGCATGATCCCCAGCCTCAGATAAACTATATCCTTTTTAAAAAATCATTTGTTTTTTTAATTAGTTTTTTTTATCAGATTTTACTTATTTTTAGTTTTCAACATTCACTTCCAAAAGATTTTGAGTTCCAGATTTTCACCCCATCTCGCCCCTTGCTCCACCCCAACATGTTATGCATTCTGAATACCCTTCCCCTAGTCTACCCTCCCTTCTCTCTCTCCCCCGCCTTCTCTTATCCCCTTCTCCTTCTGTTTTCCTGTAGGGCAGGATAGATTTCTGTACCCCATTTCCTATATTTCTTATTTCCCAGTTGCATGTGAAAACATTTTTTTAAACATGTGTTTTTAAAACTTTGGATTCCAAATTTTAACTATATCCTTTTTTTAAAAATCTCTACTTCTGTCTCTACTGGTAATAATTTCCAGTGTCCAAAATTGGATTTTTAAACTTTGGAGAGAAACAGTGATTTTGATTTATTGCCAACTTTTTGAGCCATTCATTTTTCTGTTGAATATAAAAGATTTGGAGTGGCAGCATAATAAAGTAGGTAGTACTTAGAGTCAGAAAATCAATGAATAAATCAACAAGCATTTATTAAGTGCCTATTACGAATTGCCAGGACCTATGTTGGGTGCTGGGTATATGACTACAAATAATAAAACAATCTCTACTCTCATCAAGCTTATATTGTAATGGAGGAGATAATAAGTACATGTAAATGTAGACACCATGGATAAAAAGTGATGAAATGTAAATTCATACAAAATAGCTAAATTACCAAGGTAGTTCATCTTAAAGGAAAAAGAGGGAGTCTTTTTGAGATGGTAATTGAAGCAGTGCATAAGACATATGAGATATACAGTGCAAAGACGTGGAGATTGGATGTGAGAGTGTTAACGTGTGAGAAATAGAGAAAAAGCCGGTTTGGCTAGATCACACGGGGGGGAAGGGGGAGAGGGGTGCCCGCTGGGGGAAGGCACAAGAGGAGGAGTAATATACAATGTGGCTAGAAAGATAGGACCTCACTTCAAGTCTTGCCTCTGATACATATTTACTGTGTGATGGACTAATGGCAACGTTTTCGTGTTCCTGCAAACTCTGTAAGACTAAAATTGCAGATAAATTGCTAATCTGACTCTCTAGAGGAAGTTTCTATTCTAGGAATTTCCCATACTAATGAAACACAGGACAATACCAAAATATATGCATATAAAGTTACTATATGGTGATGAGACTGATTTTTAAAAAAGAAATACATCAGAACTCATGCACCCATTTAAATGTTGTTCCCATTAAAGGATTCATCTTGTTCTGCCATGTACAATGAGGCTACCATTGCTTGAAGTGTTTTTGGAGCTTCTATTTTGAAATTGCCTCTCAGAGATCTGGTATATTCTTCTGAATAGAGAGAAATGCCTTCATTATGAGGAGGAAATATTTTTTGAAATATCCAAAAGTTATTGGAACCAAGCCTACTAAATAAGTTATCAAACTAGTAGAAGATTTTTGGTTTAAAGTTAAGGTTGAAGTATAAAATAATGAAATTGATTTTCTTGTATGGTTTACAAGCTAACTTAGGGTAATTCCTAAAAAGGAGTACCAAATATGTTTTGAGTGATGTTTGTTGAAATAAATATAGTATTCCATGATGACTATTTTGAAAGATGGTACTCATTTGGCTATAAAATAGGTCTGATTTTTTAAAAATACAGATTCATTATTTTACAGTCATAGTTTATACTCTTGAATTTGGTATGTTGTTAGATTGAAACTGTCAGATTTGTGCCTTAACTGTAAAACTTTTTCTGTCCTCTTCTTTCCTTAATGCCTTTTAGAGCCTATTTCACATATGACACTATTCTTGTACAATGTACAAGATTTTGTAGAATTATAGTAATTGAGGATTTTGTAGAATGATAATAAATCTTTGTTCATTTAGAATTACTTTTAACGTATTCTACAGTATATCATAGCAGTATTTTCCAGTGATTCAGTTAGGCTTTCTCCCGATTACAAGTTAGTGACGCCTAGTGAAACTGGTGAGTACTTTTAATTAGCCTTTTTACTATCATATCAGAAAAAGCATAACCTAATTTCAATGAGAAGGAAAAAAAGTCATGTAATTTAATGTAGTGAGATATATCCTTGTGATTTATTTCCTGAAACTGAATCTTTTCCTTGTTTTTCAGCTTGTTGTATGGGTTGATCCTCTGGATGGTACCAAGGAATACACTGAAGGTCAGCTTCTTATTTGTAGTTCTATATGGCAAAACTAATTTTATCACTGTAATACAAACAAATAACAGAGCCTATTTCTAGGTCCCTCATGTGAAAGGCAAGTGTCATAGTCCATGTACTGTTCCTAAGACAGACACTGCATCCACGCTTTCCTAAACTGACTAACCTTTTCTAGGCTCCCTGGCCACCTTCAACACTATATTATCCTTGTTACTGCCTTCCAGATTATATCCCTTCTCTGCACCTTACCTTCCATATTCGGAGGCAGCTGGTTACACAGTGCATTGCTGGACATGGAGACAGGAAGACCTGAATTAAAATCCAATCTCAGCTAGGGACAGCTAGGTGGTACAGTGTGGATAAAGCACCAGACCTGGAGTCAGGAGGACCTGAATTCAAATCCAGCCTCAGACTAGACACTTGACACTTAGTAGCTGTGTGACCCTGGGCAAGTCACTTAACCCCAGTTGCCTCACCAAAAAAAAAAAATTAAAAATAAAATAAAATCCAATCTCAGACACTAACTATATAACCCTGGGCAAGTCATTTAGCCTTTGTCTGCCTCAGTTTCCGCATCTGTAAAATGGGGGTAATAATAGCACCTACTTACCAGGGTTGTTGTGAGGATAAAGTGAGATAATTGTAAAGTGCTTTGCAAACCTTAAAGCACTATATAAATGCTAGCTGTTTCTGACATCATACCTTACCCTATAAAGATAAAGCTTTAGTTAAATAGCTTTTCTTTCCTTTCCAAAGTTCTCCTTAGTGTTTAAGAATCAGAAGAATTAAAGAACCAACAAATTAAGCTAAAATTGGCATCCTACTAGAAAGAGATTGAAAGCCAGAGATTTGACCTGCATAGCATTCATATGTTTTCTATATCTTCATGTTTGAAGGAAAGGGCACACATTATCTTTTTAATTATTTACATGTTTCATGGCTAAAGCAAAACATTTTTTTCAGGAATCTCAGAAATCTCTGATAACTAAGTTCTATTATGTATGAGATATAACATTATATAAATGTGAGCCATTGTTGTTACTATTGTTAATATCCAGACTTTTCTAATGGAAACACTAAGTGTACTTGAAGTAGCCATCAGATATGGAGAGCTTATCTATATTAGTGAAAGGGATTGGTTGTTTGTCATTATTTATATACTGAAGTATTTTCCATAATATAATTATATAAAAATATGACATTTTTATATAATAAAAAAGTAAGTTATGGAGGGAAAGGTATAAAACTTTAATAAGGAAGGACAAGGATGTGATCCAGGGATAGAGTATGATGCAAAACATAAAGATGGTTTATAGCTAGTTCAGTTATTTAGAGCAGAGATGTCAAACTCAGGGCAGCCCATAAAATGAGTGCTATACTGACGGATTGAAATGTAATTGAGAAATGTTTAAAAAAATAAAAATACAACATAAATATAACATAGATAATGTTAATTTATGATTTTCTAAGTTAATATGCAGCCCACAGTGATTTATTTCTGTTTGAGTTTGACACCGCCAATTTAGAATATGGTGATAATGAGATTAAGTCTCATTCTCCTGTAGACCAGTAAGGGAGTTTTGTTTCCTTCAGCCAGCTGTATGAAATTTCATACATTTGGTCAAGAAAAACTGAGCATAGTTTTAGCTTGATCTGTGTTATCATTACAGAGGTTAAGTCATTATTTGCCCTCAGTACCTACACAGCTGCAAGGGATTAATAGAGGCTTAGACTGGTGCCTTGCATAAGACTAGCTCACAGGCTGTTGGATACTAAGCCCCAGATTCTGCTACCTAATTGTGACATCTGCTTCCCTTGTAGTTGGATTTTTCCATTGCTGACCTCTTAGTTCCAGTTCTATGGCAGTGTTAGTTCCCTGCTGGAGGAGTTTGTCTCGTTGATGAGATAGACCTTTGAAGACCAGGTTCAGATAGTGCCAGTGATAGATCCAGTCGCCATCCTTTCCCAGAGATCCCAAGCTGATGATTTATTGCACAAGGCTAAGTTTAGAAGCCTGGAGGAGGAGGCATTACCACCAATTCCTGGCACTATGCCATTCTAAGGGCCTAGAACTTCCTAGTTAACACTATCTTCACTTCTCTTCATGTTTTATCCTTTTAATACTGGTTATTCAAGAAACATGTCTACTTTGGGCAAGAAGTAGTTGGACACGAGGAGACCCTCCAACTTCATTCTTCGTAATCTCCCTGTTTCCAGATCTCAGTGGTACTGGGAATGCTGTACTCAGTTCAATTTAAAGAGCATTTGTTAAGTGCCTAATCTGTACTAGGCTCTCCACTAGGTGCTTGGAATTCAGAAATGAAAATTATATCCTTGCCCTTCAGGAGCTTCCAAGATAATGGGAGACATAAAATCCGTACAAAAATAAACATGCTACAAGCTACACTATGAGAAGTGCAGAGGAGAAGTTCAGACAAAGTGAAATAAGAAATTTTAGAACAGTGACATCAGTTTCCTTGGAGAATCAAGAAAGGCTTTTTTAAAGAGCTGGTACCTGGCTAGGTCCTGAAAGAAGAAAAAAAATTTGCCAAGTAAGGAGATGTAGAGGGAATATGATCCAGTTATGGATGATGGCTTGTGTGAATGTATTGTCCTTCTTTTCTCCTAACCTGTCATCATCACTCATTGTCCTTTGAAGTTCATGATTGGTAATGGGTAATAGAATGCAGAGCTAACAAACTCTTATCTTGCTTTTATCTTCTCTACTAAGGAAAAGGGTTCTATAATCTTTGTTTAGATACTTTTAGTGACAGAGAATCTAATACTTCCTGAAGAAGCTCATTCCACTTTTAAATAGCATAAGTTGTTGGGAAATTTTTCCTTAAATTAAGCCTAAATCTGCCTAATTTCCACCTGTTGCATCTAGTTCTGTCAATTTTGTGATCTAAGAGGAAGGGTGGAACAAAAGTACTTAATAGATGTTGAAACCGGCAGTAAGTGACAAGATAGTGAAAGTTTACCTTTCTGTAATAGTACTGAAAGAATTGACAGATGTGATTGCTGAGCCACCATTAGTGGTCTTGTTTATGAAGAAGGGAAACAGTGGTCTCTTGGAGACAGTATGGTTTCAGCAGGAATGGGTCGTGCTAGTCTAGCATTATTTATTTTTTAACAAGGTTACTAATAGCCTAAAAAAATTAAAGTAATGCCACAGAATAGCATATGTTGGGGCAACTAGATGGTGTAGTGGATAGAGTGCTGGGCCTAAAGTCAGGAAGACATCCTCCTGAGTTCAGATCCTTCCTTAGATACTAGATATATGACCCTAGGTGAGTCATTTAACCTTGGTTGCCTCAGTTTCATCATCTGTAAAATGAGCTAGAGAAGGAAATGGCAAATCACTCCACTGTCTTTGCCAAGAAAAGCCCAATTAGGGTCATAAAGGGTCAGATACAAGTGAAATGACTGAACATCAAACAACAAGCGCATATAGATTTCAAATGTAAGGCATTTGATAAAGGTTTCCACATTACCCTTGGAAAGATGTAAATATGTCTACTGTATGTTAATACAGTTAGTAGACCTGGCATTAGTTTAATGACTAGAATCAAAAAGTAGTGATTAACAGATGTCATTCAGGGAGGATGTTTCTACTAGAGTGCTTTAGAGATTGGTTCTTGGCCTTTGTGCCTTTTGACATTTTTAATCACAGAATTTAGATTCTACAAAGAGGTAATATGTGGATTGACCAGGGCATATCTTTAGCACTTAATACAGTTCCTGGCAAGTAAGTTCTTAGTAAGTAAATGCTTGTTGACTGACTGATTGACAATGTGTAGGGAGACTAGTACCTCCCTTATCATCACTGTCTAGATCTTTATCCTCAGCAGATGCTCAAGAAAAATTCATGATAAAGGAATATTAGACTGGTAGCAACTCAGGTATCTCACAAATTGGGAAGACTGTGTGCTAGACAGGAATACATGAGAACTTCATGATCTCAAACAGATAAGGACATTCTTCTTCTGGTCTCCATATAAACCTTGGCTCTGATGCCCAAGGAGAGCCTTCAGAAGGAAAGGTGGTCTACTAAGAGTAGATTAAGAAAGACACTGATGAATAGGAGTGGCATCAGTAAATAAGATCAGTCTCAGTCCCATAGAGGGCTAAGCATACACTTCTTGCCAGTTGACTGCTAGATTCCCATGTACTTTGATTTATACATATTTGAATCCACTTTAAATAACATTTCCTATAAAATCCCCTCACAGTCTCACAGAAAAGCAGATTCCCTTTAGTCCAATCCATCCCTGTACTTGAGTTTCCTCTGGAACAGGGGTGGGGAACCTACACCCTTGAGGCCACATGTGGCTTTCTAGGTCCTTGGGTGTGGCCTTTTAACTGAGTCCAAGTTTTATAGAACAAATCCTTTTATTAAAGGAATTTGGATTCAATCAAAGGGCCCCATTAAGGACCTAGAGGGCCCCTTGTGTCCTTGAGGCCAGAGGTTCCCCACCCATGCTCTAGAGTGTCTTAGAGAAAAGATCGTGTAATCTTTGCTTAGATACCTTTAAATGACAGGGAGCCTACTGCCTGAGGAAACCCATGTCACTCCTGGATGCCATCAATTGCAAGGAAGATTTCCGTTAAATTAAGCCTAAATCTAATGCCTAATTTCCATCCACTGCATCTAGTTGTCAGTCTTAGTGATCAATTCCTTGATTCCCTTATCCATATCTTTCTTCTGCTCATCATTTCTTATAGCACAAATTCCATATGCCACAACTTATTCAGCCATTCCCCAGTTAATGGATATCCCCTCAATTAGCAATTCTTTGCTACCACAGAAAGAGCTGCTATAAATATTTTGTTCAGATAAATTCTTTTCCCTTTAAAAAAAATCTCTTTGGGATGCAGCTCTAGTAGTGGTATTCCTGGATCAAAGGATATGCACAGTTTGATAGCATTTAGGGCATGGTTCCAAATTGTTCTCCACAATGGTTGGATCAGTTCATAATTCCAACAACAATGCATTAATGTCCCAATTTTCCAACATCCCTTCCATTATTTATAATCGTTTTCCTTTTCTCTCCTATTAGCCAATCTGATAGGTGTGAGGTGGTACCTCAGAGTTGTTTTTGTTTGCATTTCTCTAATCAGTAGTGATTTTGACCATTTATTCATATGACTATAGATAGCTTTGATTTCTTTATCTGAAAACTTCCTGTTCCTATCTTTTGACCATTTATCAATTGGGGAATGACTTGTAAAATGAGATAGTTATTGTTGGTTTTGACAGGCATCTGGAGGCCTTCATCTCTGCCCTAGATGCATGCAATGGGAAGACTGTAGACTTTTCTGTTGTGAGCATCAGATCAACAAATAGGAGCCTCAGCAGCAGAGTCACCCACTAATCACCAATACATGTCTCCTACTTATTCCTCTCATTCTTCCTAAATGACCTGTCTCCTGATGCCACTCTGATCTACATTGCCATGACTTGCAACCATGTCTTCCATGGAAGGTCTGGAGCTCCCCTTAGCAGGAATAGGCTTGTGCAATGTGTGTGGTTCAATGGAAAGACAGTTGAAATTGGAGTCAGAGTCCCTGGGTTTGAATCCTGGATCTTCTACTTACTACCTGTGTTGCTTTAAGCAAGTTACTAACCCTCTTTGAACCTCACATAAAATGTCGGGCTTGAATTAACCTTAATGTGAACTGTTGGCAACACCTCAGATTCTGCAGTGACAAACTGTAGAGCTGCTCTGACCTGTAACCATCAGCAGTACTGCCTTTGTGGGAAGACAATACTTCTACAAAGTCTATATTGGGGGAGTACTCTATGGAAAGTGGAAAAATTGTGACTTTTTCTTTTTATGTATTAATGAAAATATTGTTTACAGATAGATTTTAATGAATTCATGCAAAATTGAAGACCACATAAAACATTTAAGAAATTAATGGAAAAATGAATAAATTACTTTATTTTCTATACACAGGTCTTCTGGACAATGTAACAGTCCTTATTGGAATTGCTTATGAAGGAAAAGCAATAGCAGGAGTTATTAACCAGCCTTACTACAATTATCAGGTATAATATGTTAATGCAGAAGAATTTCATTTGTTTTGTAACTACTTTTGTAAATTTCAGTTATGGGCATGGGAAGGAACCATTTGAGACTGTCTAATCCAGCCTTTGTCTTTGATGTTCTTCTTTTTAACACTTTTATTAATGACTTGGATGAAAAAATTGATGGCTTATTATCTGATAGATGGCAGGAAGTTGGGAAGGATTTTCTAATACACTGATGATAGTTGTTCTAGAATATATGTTCTTGAGGACAGAAATGGTTTTTTGCTTTTCTTTGTATCCCCAGTGCTTAGCACAGTGTCTGACCCATAGTAAGTATTTAATAAATGCCCATTGACTAACTGACAGAATTATAACCTAAACCTGTCTGAGTGGGCTGCAACAATGGACCAATTATAACAAAATGAAAGGTTCTATATAAATTTGTGTTGAAAAGTAGAGGATATGAGAGATGTAACTAGAAAGCCATTCTTTATGAAAAAAGTTCTTGGGAGATTTTGATCATTCATAGTCTTAGTAAGACTCAGCCCTGTGATGTGCTAACTGAAAGTTAATGCCATCTGTGAGCTGCCTCAGTAGAGGTATAGGGTCCACAACAAGTAACTTGGGGGCTTCAGTGTACTCTACCCTGGTCAGAACACATCTGTAATACTGGCTTCAGTTTGGGCACCACATTTGAGGAGCAACATTGGCCAACAGAAGTATCAGGAAGCCTAAATGACCTAGTGTCATTTTAAGCTATTAAAGCCTAAAGCTGGTAAAGCTTAAAACTATATTAAAACTTTTGGGCCACATAGTATATACAGAGGAGGGTTTATAAAATGGCGATGGGATTCAGTATTCCAAACTTAGTCGTCCAGCTTTGCAGTGAAGAAAAGAAGGTGAATTTTCTTAACTTTGGTTAGGACCATCCCTGGTCATTATTATTATCCATTGTTCAGTTTGGAGTGTTTATTGCTAGTTTTTCCCCATTTACAGTGTAGTTATTCTGTATGTTGTTTTCCTGATTTTGCTTACTTCACTTTGCATTAGTTCATGTGCTCTTTCCATCCTTCTCTGTATTTATCATATTCATTGTTTCTTATAGCATAGTAATGACATGATTTGTTTAGCTATTCCTCAGTCAACTAGCATCCATTTTGTTTCCAGTTCTTTACTACTATAAAAAATAGTACTACTATAAATGTTTTAGTATACATGAGACGTCTTTGACCTCTTTGGTGTATATATACCTAACAGTGGAATTAGAGTAATTTTGTTAATCTGGACACCTCTCTCTTAAGGAGAGCTAGGAAAATGTTACAGAAGTAATGTATTAGGATCAAAGAATAATATGAGTCATTTTCTTTTGAGTAATATTTAATAGCCATTGTTAGATTACCATTTGCTCTGTTTGTTGAGCTGGTATTATTCCTGTCAGTTTGGGAAAAAAAAAACCCAGCATGGTACTGTGGAAAGAATGCAGGATTTAGGTAGCTATGGGTTCCCACCTGCAACACTTATTAAATGTGTGATCAAAGGCCAATTGCCTGATCTCTAGCCTCAGTTTTTTCATCTATAAAATTGTGATAACTCTAATAGCCTCTTCACAGAGTCATTGTGAGAATCAAATGAGATAATGTTGGTAAAGCACTTTGCAAAACTTTAAGTACTGTGTCAGATATAGTAATAATGATCTTTTTACAAGGACTGGAAGGGGAAAGCTCAGCATTTTTTCCATTATTCAGTAATTCCAGAGCTGAAGTATAGTATTCTAAAACTATACATTTTCAATGAAGGAACTGAGAGAAAAGAACCCTGTCAAGACTGAAGGGAAAAACAAGTAACCAGAAGGCTGTCATCTTTAATATGTTTAACTTGGAGTAGATATATCCCCCTTTCAAAAAGCACATCTTTTATTTTGCCATGCCATTTTAACACTTTTTTAAAATTGCAGGATGTTTGTTCCTTAGTGCCTTTTGTGGTTGATTTTTATTTCTTATAAGTAGAAGCATATATTTCTTGGAATTTTCACAGCAAAGTGCCAGTTCAAATTGTGATACGTTCAAGATCACATTGTAAAATATAAAAATAAATCAGTACTGATAAAAAGGGTTATTTTAATCAGAAATAAAACTAACATATAAGAACATTTATCTGTAAATATCTAAGTGGTTTAAAGTTATCTTTAATTTTCATCGTATCTCTTGAAAAGGTGAGAAAAACTAATCCTTACCCACAGAGCAGTGAAAAGAAGTTAAGAGAATATAAGAGTGAGGAAAAAGTGAAAAATAAAACTGGAATTTTAGCTCTTACTACTAGAACAGGTACTACACTTGAGTTTTTAGCATTGTTACTACCAGATGATGACAATTATTAAAAGAATTTAAATTTTTCTCTCCCTTTCTTCTTGATCTTGGGCCAGTCTCCATCTGTCTAGATCTCAAGGTTTCTCATCTGCAAAATGAGGGCAGTGACTAAATGACCAGTAAGGTCCCTCCCTACTCTAAAACCCATAATCCTGTGATTTTCTCCTGCTTGTACCTTCAGGTCTGCCTCACTGACCTGAGGTAGTACCACTCAGGCCAGCTACAAGTATTACTTAACTTGATGCTGGCACTCAGGAATGGGGAGGTGGTGAGTGCTTAGAAGAACTATCAGTGAGTATCAGATGAAGAAATGTATAATAAAACATTTAAGGAAAGTGAAGCCCCATAGTGAATATACCTTTGTTTATGTGGCTCTATATTAACCTCTTTGTATCTCAATTTCTCCTAAAAAATAAGACTGCCATCTTTGTGTTTCACATGAATAATTTCTAAATAAATGAGATAAAATTACACAAAGACACTTTGAAATCATTCATTAAAGCAATCAATTAATATTTATTAAGTACCTACTATGTGCTGGGCACTTGGGATACAGAAAGAGGCAAAAGACAGTCCTTGCTCCCTCTAGGAGTTCACAATCTAATTCAGAGCTTACATTCTAATGAAAGAAAGATTTACATCCCAGGTTATATTATATTCATCTTTTCACACTAGAAGGTTAGGGAATAAAACTCTAACCTCAACCCTATCTTCCTGACAGCCTTTTATTGACAGTTTATTCAGCTGCAACTTTGCCCTACAGCCCATGATATTGACTATCTCTTGAGTGATCCTGGTAGTGCAGAGAACAGTTATTTTTCCTTTCTAGTGCATTTCAAACCACAGTATTTCACAAAATAATAGAATAATTCATGTTATCTAAATACTATAATAATTCTGTGTTAATGTTATATCTTTTGACATATAATTATAATAACATGACTAAAATAAAAATATTATGCCTTTAGCTAGCTTTTTGCTACAGAAGTATTACATATTATTGTTTCATTAATTTGTTTAGGCAGGAGCAGATGCTGTGCTCGGGAGGACAATCTGGGGAGTTTTAGGTTTGGGTGCCTTTGGGTTTCAGCTGAATGAAGTGCCTGATGGGAAACATATAATTACCACAACTCGTTCTCATTCCAACAAGTTGGTAAATGATTGCATTTCTGCTATGAATCCTGATAATGTTCTCAGAGTGGGAGGAGCAGGAAATAAGGTAATACATTTGATGTTTGTCAGAAAGATTGAGGGGAGTTAGAAAATATTGAATTTATTATCATTTTCCCCCTTTAGCTTCTTGTTTCGCAGAATTAGTCATTTGATAATGTTCAGACTTGTTCATTTGGTATAAATTAGTATTAAATGTATTGAAAGAGAATAGAGGTAATAAAATGATGCCACTAAATTGGTTATAAAATATAAAATCAATTCTATATCTGGTTTTTAAATTCTAAATTCAAACCTATTAAAATTTTTTATTTATTGTTTTTTTCTTGCATTGTTTTTCTGAGGTAATCATTTGCCTACATTAGAAATAACCCTTCTAAGCTAGAAAGTAGATAAACTGGAGTAGGCATCTCAACATTTGTCATTAACGAAAGCTAATAGCATATTTTTAAAGTGGTTATAGGAATCTTTATTGTTGCCTAATTTCAAATTAAAATTAACCTTTGACCATGGATGATGCTGAAAGGAGTAATTGTTGAGGAGCTCAATAAAATTTTTCTCATGTTTGTATGGCTCTTCTTCATCTTTCTGTCTGAACATATCAAAATTTATTTTACTTTTTAACAAAGTCATCAAACTATCCTACTGACTTTCTTGTGATCTTGTAACCATATAAGCCCACAGAAGGCAGTATCCTCATGTGAGAGTTATGCGATTAAACTGGCTAAATTTTTGCTTTAGGTAAATAGATCCATGCTCCTAGAGCCTATTACTTTAAAAAAAAAAACCCTTACAGATCATTCAGCTGATTGAAGGCAAGGCGTCTGCTTATGTATTTGCCAGTCCTGGCTGTAAGAAGTGGGATACTTGTGCTCCAGAAGTTATTTTATGCGCTGTAGGAGGTGAGTAAGCAAATTCAGATACTTTTTGGGTTCAGTAGAGGCATTTAAAGATTTTGATAAACTGTAGTATCAATGACATCACATGCATTTTTTTAGTAACTTATTTTTACATAATCTTCATTTCCCATTGTATGCTGATGCCTACCCTGTCCCAGAGATCCATCCCATACAATAAGTAACTTTAGAAAGAAAAAGGAAAAAAAAAATTCAGCAAAAATAATAACCAGCATATCAGAAAAGTCTGATGTTCTGTGTAGCATTTGAAACCCGTGGCCCCCAACATATTTAAAGAAGCAGAAGAAGGTATCTTTTCATTCTTGTCTTTACAAGTAATTATAATTTCTTTTCAGTTTCAGTTGTTATATAACATGCATTATTACTATCAGGACAGAACTACTACTTCATATAGCATATCCATTTTTATTTAAACACTAATCAAAAAAAATTAATTACCATACCTTGTGTTTTAAGCACAGGTTTGCCAAAAACAATTTTATTTAATTTAAGATTATTTTATGTTCAAGCCATTTCTGTCTTGGAGAGAGATTAGCATAGTTCCCTCATGACTTCCAACAAGACTGTCTGTCACAAGATTTGAGATAATATTTATAGGAATCTTGATTTCAGAAAGATATTTTAACATTTTAAAATACAGTTTGGGGTTAACATTCTAAAACAATAGTCACTACTCATTTCCTCTGTTGACTACTGCTTTGAAATGTTCTCCAGAAATTTTTTAAAAAGAGTTCAGCTTCCTGAGTTGAAGACTGCCCTTAGACAAGTCAGCTAGCTTAAGAAGGTGGTGACATAATGATCTTAACAAAGTTAAGGAGTACTTTTTGTTAAAAGGTTGGCTTCTATCCTTAATCCTTTTCTTTAAAAAAAAAGGCTTTTTGTCCACCTTTCTAAGGGATGGTGGGGAAGGACATTTGGAAAAAACTCTTAGACTAGAGAAATTATTATTTCTTAATATTTTCAATTTTACTAAAAAAGTTTTTTTTAATATGCTTCCAGATACTCTAATGTAACCTCTTTTTGGATGATTATATACAAGCAGAATTTTCAATTTAATTTTTCCTGTTTCCCAAAAATGCATTTTAGTTAACCTGTGAATAGGAGATTTTCCTGACAAGTTAAATATATTAATCATCATTGTCATCAGTCAGTTAATCAACAAGCATTTATTAAGCCCCAATTATATGCCAAATGCTGTGCTAGGTTCTGGGAATTCAAATTTAAATATGAGACAGAGCTTATATTCTTTTTTTCCCCAGCTTTAAAGTTCTATGATTTTTTTTATTTGATATTTTATTTTTCCCTAGTTGTGTAAAAACAATTTTTTAACATTCATTTTTAAAACTTTGAATTCCAAATTCTCTCCCTTGCTCCCTTTCCCATCCCTGCTCCCGTTGAGAAGGCAAGCAATACAATATAGTTTATACATTGTAGTCATGCAAAACATTTCCATGATAGTCATACTGTGAAAGAAAACATAGATTAAAAAAAAACCTCAAGAAGAATAAGGAAAGTAAAAAAAGTATGCTTCAGTCTCTTCAGATACCATCAGTTCTTTCTCTAGGGATGGGTTGCATTTTTCATCGTAAGTCCTTCAGAGTTGTCTTGGATCATTGTATTACTGAGAATAACTAAATCATTCACAGTTGATCATCTTACAATATTGCTGTTATTTTCTACACAGTACATTTGGCTTTGCATCAGCTCATGAAGTCTCTCTAGGCTTTTCTGAGAGCATCCCGCTAATCATTTCCCATAGCATAACAGTATTCCATCATAGTCACATACCACAATTTGTTGAGCTGTTCCCTAATTGATGGGCATCCCCTCAATTTCCAATTCTTTACCCCCAGAAAAGAGCTGTTAAAGATATTTTTGTACATCTAAGTCCTTTTCCTTTTTCCTTTTTTTCTTTTTATCTCTTTTGGGATACAGATCTCGTACAGGTATTGCTGGTTTTGTACCACTTTGGGCATAGTTCCAAATTGCTCTACAGAATATTTGAATCAGTTCACAACTCCACTAACAGTACATTAATGCCCCATTTTCCCCACATCACCTCCACCATTTGTCATTTTGCTTTCTGTTCTATTCGCCGATCTAATACATATGAAGTAGTGCCTCAGAATTGTTTTAATCTGCATTTCTCCAACCATTGGTGAGTTAGAGCATTTTTTCATATGCCTATAGATTGCTTTGATTACTTCATCTGAAAACTGTTCATATCTTTTGATCATTTATCAACTGGGGAATGGCTCTTATTTTTATAAATTTGACTGATTTCAATATATGTTTGAGAAATGGGGCCTTTATCAGAAAAACTTGCTTCAATTTTTTTTTTCAGTTTCTGTTGCTAACTGTATTTCCCTCCATCCTTTCCCCACTGCTTATTCTATTCTCACTCTCCTTTCACCCTGTCCCTCCTCACAAGTGTTTTGCTTCTACTCCCTTCTCCTATCTGCCCTCCCTTTTATCACTCCCACCCTCTTCTCTTATCCCTTTCCCCTCCTGCTTTCCTGTAGGGTAAGGTAGATTTCTATACCCAATTGAGTGTGTATGTTATTCCCTCTTTGAGCCAATCTTGATGAGAGTAAGGTTCACTCACTCCCCCTCACCTCACTCCTCTTCCCCTATACTGTAAAAGCTTTTTATTGCCTCTTTTATGTGAGATAATTTACCTTATTCTACCTCTCCCTTTCTGTTTCTCCTAGTACATTCCCCTCTCATCCCTTTTTTTAATTTTTTTAGATACCATCCCTTCGTATTTGACTCACACTTGTCCCCTTTGTCAATATATACTCCTATCTGCTGTAATAATGAGAAAGTTCTTATGAGTTACAAGTATCATTTTCCTGGGTGGGAATGTAAACATTTTAACCTTATTAAGTCCATTGTGATTTCCCTTTCTTGTTTACCTTTTTATGCTTTCGTTTTGTATTTGAGAGTTCAGCTCTAGTCCTTTCATCAAGAATGCTTGAAAGTCATCTCTCTCATTGAATGTCCATTTTTCCCCCTGATGGATTATACTCAGTTTTTCTGGCTAAGTGATTCTTGGTTGTAATCCCACCTCCTTTGTCCTCTGAAATATCATATTCTGAGCCCTGTGATCCTTTAGATGTAGAGGCTGCTAAATCTTGTGTTATCCACAATACTTGAATGAACCAGTACTTTGAAAAATCTTGACTTTATACATAGTGTTCCACACTTATTATTATATGATATGTGATATATGTATATAACGTAGTATAGTACATGTATAATACATTATTTTATGTTATATGCCTTTTACAAATATTCTACCTCCTCTCTGAAATAGGAAAGAAGATAACATAAATCATTTCCACTGTTGAATATTCAACCAATCTTGTCTACTAGGATAAAAACTTCTATTCTTTTTAAGATTTATTATCCTGGAATTTTTAAACTCATATTTAAATTGACCTGGTAACCAGAGGCTTAAATAAACAAAGTAATCCTCAGAATTAAGGGATTGGATTAGATGAGCTTTAAGGTCAATTTCAGATGTAAAATTTTATGATATTTATCTTTCATTCAATTGAAAACTAATACTTTAAGAGCTATAGATATAGCTCTTAAGTAAATACAAATTTTCAGTCTTTAAATCATAATTTTTTCTTTTTGTTCACCTTCTCTTTCAACCTGAGAGTGCTCCATTAATTTTATGTTTCTTTCTATATTATACTTAGAAATAATTGAAAACCATTTCTGTGAGAGAAAAAAACAACCACTTTTTCTAGCCTGAAATGTAGTCTTTTGTGAGGAATCATGTTTTATTTGTATTTTTTACTTCCAGGCAAACTGACTGATATTCATGGAAATACCCTTCAGTACCATAAGGAAGTAAAGCATATGAATTCTGCTGGTGTCCTTGCCACACTGAGGAATCATGACTATTATGCAAGCCGAGTTCCAGAGACTGTTAAGAAAGCACTTGTGCCATAAGGGACATATTATCTGCTTACCAGTGAAAACAATGAGATTTGATATTCAAGTTAATAAATTTTTTAAAATTATGAAAATACATTTATTTTTTGTTTTTATTATTATTGATTAGTGATATTGTGTATACAGTAAGAGCAGCATAAATAATTAATTCTGATAAATTCATAGTTCCAGTTTTGAAATATAGAGTATCAACTTTAAGCTGGTAAGCTAGATCTGTGAAACAGCCGAATTAGGATCCTAATGATCACACATGATGTCTAGTGACTCATGGCAAAGTTTTGGCCTACATTCTATAGGGATTTTAAAAAAAGTTCAATTTTGAGCCCTGCTAATATACTATCAGCATTCCTGTAAAATTTCTTCATTTAATTTAGGGCACAAATCTTAGATGCTACATGAATCTTAGTTTGTTAAATGACTTTATTCTCTAAATTATTATGATTTTTATTATTATTACTATAAAATGTTATTTTCTATGTTGGTGAAATAGCTTTATGAGAGATACTCTTATGACAAAATTATACATTATTTAATTTTTGTATTACTTAATTTAATTTCTTATACTTAAGTATTCTAAATAAATGGTTTCATTTATTCTGATTTCTTTGTAAAACTTTCTAGGACTTCAAGTCCTGTAATTTTAGTCCAGTAGACATTAAGTGTCTACTATGTGTAAGATACTATAATAGGTGCTGGGTATACAAAGCCAAAAATGAAACAGTTCTGGCCCTCCTGGAAGTTACATTCCACTCTGTGACAACATATGTATAGTTAAGTAAATACAGGATAATATGAATAGGTCAAGAATGCTAAACACTTAAGAGTGAAGGGGGAAGAAATCAGGAAAGACTTTTTGTAGGAGCTGAGTCTTAAAAGAAGATAAGGATTCTAAGAAGCCAAGGAGGAGTGCCACTAGCTCCAGGCAGAAGATCTCTGTTGCAGAGCGATGGTAGGATAGCAATAAAAAAAATAGCTAGTGTTTATATAGCACTTTAATATTTACAGAGGGTTAAAAAAGCAAGATGAGTTGGTTGCTAGGCAAAGGTGAAGTATGATAGATGGAGAATCAGAGTCCTCAAGTGGCATCCTTGGGATATTAGGATGAAGTGATTATGGCCTCCAATATAATAGGTTGAATCCTTGTGGCAAGTTTATGGGATAGCATGACCAAGAATCACATAGGATGAGCAGGCATGGATGGGTTACAATAAATATCAGCTGAGGGAATATTTAAATTGAAGATACTATATACCTATGCCAGTATTTGAATATGTTTTAAATTTCCTTACTGTGTAAGTATTGCTTTCCCTAGTGTACAATCTTTGAGGATTGAGACTATTTTAGTTTTCTGGTTTTTTGTTTTTGTTTTTGTCTTTGCATTTCCAGGCCTAGCACAATCCAGCACAAAATAAATGTTTGCTGTATTAACAAATAAATGAAAGATCAGTGATACCTTAAAAAAAAGATTTACAGAGATATCTGTATCATCTCATTTAATTCTCAACAAACTGGTCAGGTGGATGATATTGATGAGGAATGCATGACTCTCGACTCTTTTCCAAATGAATTTGGTGCCCACTTCTTGAGAGGGGGAGATGAGATTCCAGTAGGCTGGTCCAGGAGAAGCCCATTATCACAAGTACCACTTAAAGCCACTTTAGGAGACACTGAGATTCAAGTAGGCTGGTTGATGAAATTCCAGAAACTAATGAGAATCCCTCTGCCCAGGACTAAACCATGGAATAATTATGTGCCTAGGTAATGCTTGAAACTCAAAACTACTGTCCCTGGTTACCTCATCTCCTCTTGCCATGGCACGTTTTCCTTTATAAAGAGTCCCTAGCCTCTCTAGGCTAATGAATCTCCCCTTTATGGGGTGTCTCCCTTTATATGGTATCCCCCTGAAGTAGCCATCTCCCTGGGGAGATCTGTGTTTGCAATGCAGTATCTATTGTTTCTATAGTCTGTGTAAACCAATATCCCCCTCATCTTGTTTACATATTTGTGTAAACCAGTAAACCAAGAAATCAATTAATCAATAACCTAATCTCCCCCTGTCCTGTTTTCTTATCAATTCTGTGGGAACCAAACTGTTAGCATTTCTCACAGAAGAAAGCCTTTGGCCTTTAGCAACGAAGAGATCATTTGTAATTTTAGAGAGTGGAGTTTCAGTGAATTAATGGATCCACTTGGTAGGAGCTTAGAAGTGAGTGGATTATAAGGCAGTGGAAGCAGGTTTTCTTCTAGTTTGACTATGAAAGGCAGCACAGAAAGATAGGGTAGCAGGAGGGGATGGAAGGGTCAAGAAGAGGTAGCTGGTGCTGGACTGGTAGTGAGGAAGATGAGTTCAAATTCGACCTCTTACTAGTTCTGTCAGACTTTTTTAGCCGGGTGACTGGAAAAGTCACTGAACCTTTCCGTCTCTAGCTCTGTCAAATGAGCATAATGATAATAACAGGTTTGTTTGGAGGATCAAACGAGTTGACATATGTAAACTGCTTTGCAAAACCTAAAGCTATTAAAGTGCTCGCTATTGTTAATACGAATTAAGGTCTGTCTGCCAGTTTCCTCATCTGTAAAATGGTTATAATTAGAGCACTTATCTCCCAGGGTTCAAGGTCGTGGTGCGGCTGAACGGAGATATTTGTCAAGCGTTTTTCACACCTCAAAGCGCCATACAAATTCTAGCTATAAGAACTCCTAATCATAATCAATGAGGATGAGAAGGCAGCAGGGAAGGGGACGGAGAAAGTGAAGACTGTAGAGATGGAGGGGAGAGATGATGGAGAAGACTGGAGCGGACCAGATGAAGAGCACCGGGCGAGGGAAGGGGAGGAACGCTTATACACGTCCCCCACCGTCCGACGTGCCTCTTTTGCGGACGGACCGGTCGAGGCTGCGTGTGAAAGGTTCCGGAACTGCCCGAGGCCGTTTGGACGCTGCACCGGAAGTTCGGCGGATGGGGTTGGGAGTGGGGAGGGGACACTGGGTGTGTTCGGCTGGGCTGGGAGGAGGAGCCTTGGCCCGGGCAGTGAGGACACGTCTCATCATCCGGTTGCCCACGCGTCCTTCTCCACAGGCCTCCGGGACTGGCGGACTCATTGGACCAGATGGCGGCGCTGAGTCTGACGGTGAATCCCCAAGACCTTCCCCTCGGTAAGTCTTGTCCTGGACGCTTCTGCTAGGACCCTGGGGCCGGGCTTACAGGGTGGATGTTGCCTGGCCCGGGGACTTGAATCTACCCCTAGATGCTTTTTCTTCTTAGCCCCTCCCCCTCTCCCCGTGCTAGGCCGGGGCGCCTGGCTCTTCCTTGAGGGGACTTTTTCCTTGCCGGGAGGGAGACCCCGACCCAGTCACCTGACCCTGGTGACGCGTGGTTTGGTGCTAGTTTCCTTGGCTCTTGGATTCTCTCAGAGATGCTAATTAAAATGGGTCTTACGAGGCTGGGAGTGATTGTACTGCCTCAGCGTTGTGGGGTTTCACTCATTTCCTTTCAAGCCAGGTCGCAAGCTTTAAGTGCCTATGTTCCAAGCACTGGGGATAAAAAGAAAGGGAAAGACTTTTTTGTTTGTTTGTTTAAACGGTTAGTCCCTGTTCTCAAGGAGCTCACAAGCTATGTACGAGATAATTTGGTGGTAATCAACCGAGGGGAGACTCTAGCATCAAGGGGAATAGGGAAAAGCTTCTTACAGAAGGTGGGATTTTAGCTGGAACCTTAAGGCAGGCAGGAGTCGGGGCTGACAGGATGGATGGTGAGAGAAAATTAGTAAAAAGAGAGGACTGGGGGGGGGAAGAGACAAGATAATAAGTTTAGTTTTGAATATGTTGAGTTTAAATGTCTGTTGGATATGCAGTTTGAGATATCCAATAGACTTTTTGGGCGATTTGAGACTGAAGGTCGCAAGAGATTGTGGCTGGATGAATCTGAGAATCTTTTGCATAGAGATGATAGTTGAATCTACGGAAGCTGATGAAATCACCAAGTGAAATAGAGAGATGAAGACTCAGAGCAGAGGTTTGGGGGCACCCACGATTATCAGGGTACACCTGGATGAACCAGTAAATGAGACTGAGGTAATCAGACAGGTAGAAGAACCAGGAATGAGCAATATCCTGAAAGCCTGCAGAGAAGAGAGTATAAAGGAGAGAAAGGTGACGAATTGTCTCGGAGGCTTGAGAGGGATCAAGAAGAATGAGGATCAAGAAAAGGCCATTAGATTTGGCAATTAAGAAATCATTGGTAACTTTGAAGATGGCAGTGTCACTTGAATGATGAGATCCAAAACCAAAGTGCAGAGTTAAGAGAGAAGAAAGTGGATTCATTGAATGTAAATAAGGGAGGAGGATTATAAAATGGGAGCTAGTGATGATGGATGGGTGTGTTTGTAGGTAGTAGGGATGCAGCAGTAGACAGGAAGAGATTGAAGAATAATGAGAGATGAAATAATAAAAGGGCAGACAGCTGGAGAAGGTAGAATGGGAACATCCCCCCCCCATACTGTATTTCCCCACATTTCTCCTATTCATATTTTGGACTCTCTGCTGTACTGATCCTGGGAAATGGGATCAAGGGAGGTGCTCAGCATTGCCTTTTGCATGTCTGGTGACAGATTTATATGGGTGCCTGGAACAGGGGTATATAGCAGGCAGGTGCATTTGCTTCTCTTGTTTATCTTGCAAAAGTAGTAAGGTTCTGACCTGTCACCTCCCTGCTTAGTTTCCAGTTTGTACCAAATTCGGGGTTGTATTTCAAACACGAATAGTGAACTTTCAGAGGTTAACATGAATGAGAGTTATGATTTTTACAAAAAATTATATCAAAAGAGGATTGTCATTTTTCTGAGTCTGCATTGGCATCACTCCCCCCCCCACCCCAAATTTTGGGCTTGGTAGGCTGGTAAGATATACATATTATTCAAATCAGTTTTGACGTTGTTAACTCGTATTGGAGGTTTAAATCT